ATAAAATAGAGAAGTTTCGTCATGTGGGTTGAGGCTTGGGGCTTGAGACGCAAAATTCTAAGAACACGCATTTCTTTTTGTTCATCAGGTGATTGGGATAAACAACCAGTTCCCGGGTCCTCTCTTGAACGTGACGACGAACCAGAACGTGAGGGTGAACGTCCAAAACAACCTTGACGAGCCCCTCCTCATCACCTGGTACTTACTACTGCTGATGATGCCTCTCTGATCACTTCATTTTGATGCAGCAGATCTCTGATGACTTCATGTGAAGCAAACCTATTTTCTTGGATTTTTTTAATATTTCACACATGCATTTTCATTTTATACCAAATTTTTAAAAAATCTTGACGAGTCAAATTGTGTCAGTAGCCATATGTAAGGTTTCCATCTTTGATGGGTTTGTGATGAAATTCTCGGTGGATCTTGAGCTGCACTTCCATTTCTGCGCTTCCTCTTTGCCTTCCTATATTAAGCATATGACGTGCCATATTATGCGTTGTGCATTTGAGACATTTATGGGCTTAATTGATCATGGCATATTGACATATATGGGCAGGCATATCATGTTCTTTCCAGGCTCCAGCAGATTGGTTCAGGTGCATGCATCTGTGCGTGATTCTCGGCATCATTGCATTTACATCCTGATAGTTCGTACCAAAATGTTATTTGCTTTATTAGTGACTGAAGATGCAACGGTTTCTGTTATTTTTTTTAGATATAATCTGTGTCCTTGATTGAATTACATCTGTACCGTAGCAAATAAAATCTGCATAACATTTTCTACCAAATAACTTTGCAGATGTTAGACCATCCTTGGAAAATGTTTGAAATGCTTAATACCTGAGGGTTGCTTCTGCAAATTCCATAATTTTTTTCAAAAACTGAACTAGCATTGGCGCCAATTTTCTTCTCATCCTGTGGCAAGTGGCAACTGAACTGGTTTGCTCACTTGTCTCTTTTCCATGGGAATGGCAGGGACGGGATCCAGATGAGGATGAACTCGTGGCAGGACGGCGTCATGGGCACCAACTGCCCCATACCTCCGGGATGGAACTGGACCTACGAGTTCCAGCTCAAGGACCAGATCTGCAGTTTCTTCTACTTCCCGTCGCTCGGCCTCCAGCGTGCCGCCGGCGGGTTTGGCCCCATCACTGTCAACAACCGCGCCACCGTGCCTCTCCCCTTCGACCAGCCTCATGGTGATATCACCCTGTTCATCGGGGATTGGTACACCAAAAGCCATGTTGTAAGAATCGCACTTTGTTTTTGTGTCTGTCAATGCAATCTAGATGGTCTATCTATTTGTTTCAGAGATAGTCAGGGAAAATATTGCACTTTCAATGATCTCTTGAATTTCCCAGCATATTATTGTACATAGAACATAAGCTTAGATTTTCTTTCCCAGCAGGATATTAGACCAAATATCAGTGTTCATCTGAGAATCTAATTTCATTTTTAAGTATACAGAATAAGAATCGCAGTACAGGGTTTCACTGAAAATGGAGTTGTTGCACAGTATTTAGCATGGTACTTGAAAAAGCTTTTGCATATTCTTCTTGTAATTTGAGTATTCTATCCCATGCAGGAACTGAGGAACATACTAGATGATAATCAGGAACTAGGGGTACCAGATGCCATTCTTATCAATGGAAAGGCACCTTACAGATATGACAGTGCACTGGTTCCGGATGGCCTTCAGTATGAAACTGTTGGAGTTGAGCCAGGTTATATATGGCTTTGATCAAACTTTTACTTGCAAATTTGCAGCTCTATGTGCAATTTTTATAAACTACAATCATACACCCATGCTGAATGCTCGAAGTTATGTTTGTATGTTAGTTATATTTCAAACTTCTGTTACTTTGGTAGCACAAAAGGTTGGATTTTATCAGTCACTGATGTGAAGTGGAAATCAAATGAGTGGAAGTAGGAATGCAGCTTATCAGTCAATCTCTATCTGCATTACTATAATACAACACCACCATGTTTATCATGAGTCGTGTGAAGTCTGATGCTCTGAATATTTGTGACAGGCAAAACATATCGCTTCCGTGTCCACAATGTTGGCATCTCAACTAGCCTCAACCTCAGGATCCAGAATCACAACATGCGTCTGGTAGAGACTGAAGGAACCTACACCAATCAGCAGAACTACACCAACCTGGACATCCATGTGGGACAGTCCTACTCTTTCTTGGTGACCATGGATCAGAATGCAAGCACCGACTACTACATTGTGGCGAGCCCGAGGTTTGCAAGCAATCCTCGATGGCATGAAGTAGCTGGTGTAGCCATCCTTCAGTATTCAAACTCCAAGGGCAGGGCTTCGGGCAGCCTCCCTGATGCTCCAAATGATCACTATGACAAGTACTACTCCATGAACCAGGCAAGGTCCATCAGGTATTGTGTTTACAAGAGTACAATATTGCTATGTTCTTGCCATGGAAATTCACTTCTGATCTTGTGTTACTGTGGACCCTGATCTTCATTTAGCTTAACGGATTCTTCTCCTGTATTTGAAGTTGTCATTTGTGTTACTGTATTTGATATAATGATATTCATATGTTCTACATCAAGAGCCATTGGTATTGTTGTTTCATTCTACTGTATTTGATATAATGGTATTCATATGTTCTCCATCAAGAGTCATTAGTATTGTTGTTTCAGAATGAACACAAGCGCTGGTGCTGCCCGTCCAAACCCACAGGGATCATTCCACTATGGATCGATCAACATCACTCAGACCTTTGTTCTCAAGAACAAGCAACCCTTGAGCATCAATGGAAAGCGTCGGAGGACTATCAACAGGGTGTCATACTCTCCTCCAGAGACGCCACTGAGGCTTGCTGACCTCCACAACCTGACTGGAGTCTACGCAACTGACTTCCCTGCAATGCCCAGCAATGCGCCAGCGAGGATAGCTTCATCTGCGCTGAACGCATCCTACAAGGGTTTCCTAGAGATCGTTTTCCAGAACAATGACACTGATGTTCAGACCTACCATCTTGATGGCTACTCATTCTTTGTTGTTGGGTACGTGCTGAACCATCACAATCTTCAGTTTTAACCAATGTTTCATATCTGCTTGTGAACATCTGAAAAGAACACCACCTTCCGGTGAATTTCAGGATGAATTATGGCGAGTGGACACCAGACAGGAGGAATGAATACAACAAGTGGGATGCCATCTCTCGCTGCACCACTCAGGTAAGCAACCTTTCCAAGACACATCTGATAATGTGCCAAAAGTTCTGTACCTCACATTAGCTGTGCCATTGGTAATTCTGAAGAACACAAATTTCTCAATATTTGCAATGACAAACAGGTCTTCCCCGGGGGCTGGACTGCGGTCCTAGTCTCGCTTGACAATGTTGGTATCTGGAATCTGCGTGCCGAAAAGCTGGATAACTGGTACAGAGGGCAGGAGGTCTATGTGAAGGTTGCTGATCCACTGGGCTACAACGTCACTGAAATGGTCATCCCGGATAATGCCCTGTACTGTGGTCTACTGAAGGAGAGGCAAAAGTATGTCTCAGCTGAATGTCTCTTCTCACCCGATGCAGTGTTACATTTTACAGATGCAGTGTTACATTTTACTGTTCTTGACCTGCAACTCACATTCTGCTCCAAAAACCCTGCAGGCCACAGGTTCATGAGTCAAACAGCAAGTCGTCGGCGCAAGGCGATGCTGGATGGAACAACAGACTCCTCACAACCATGATACTGGTCGTTGCAGCTGTGATCTTCAGTTGATTTTATTTTTCAAAGTTTTTGCTAGATTTTTGCCTAGAAGAAATAGAACATTGAAACATCTACCTTACAAGTTCAGCATAGGGTAGTTTGTGGAGATAGGATCTGGCGGTGACTCACAAGCTGGTTGATAGTGTAGGACAACTTGAAATGATGTTTGTGGAAAAGGCAAGATGCTTGATACTGAAGTGAGAACTTAAACAAAACCCAGTGCGTGTTGTGATTTGTATCGCTGCAGTTTGTCCTGAGGTTAACAGTTTCATGACTCGTTGCTTAACTGGCATTTTCACATTATGTGATGAAGGCATAGTCACCTGGCATTATTGCTAATCTGAACTTAATTTTGACACGAACCACTTGCATCCAGGTAAACTCCATCAAGACTAACAGATTGCAGCAAACGTACAAAACGCAAAACAATATCAATAAATTTGTACTGGTGCAGTATTCTCATTGCACGCGAAACATTGTGCCTTCATTAGTTTGTTTACACAAAGGAGGACATAAATAAGTGAACCCATGCAATTGTAGATTGCTCGTGATTCAAATACCAGTAACAAAAAAAAAAATTTAATCTTCTATGAACCATGCTTAATACCTGTGGAGAAAAGAGTAAACCACACTAGGTCCAGGATTTGGAAGATTTGTTTGAGCAATTGCAACCAGCCATTCAGTTCACAGATTATCAAGAATTTAGCGAGATTTTACAATTACTAGACTAAACATGAAAATTCATGTGTCCATTACATTCATGAGCATTCCAAAACAAGCTTCAGAAATAACAACGATCGAAATTCCGTGGATTGGTACACATCACACTGCTACAGTAAAAGTACATGTCATCTGCTTGCAATTCCCAGCATGTGGTTCATTGAGTTGTCCTCGAGAGGATAGGTGCATATCAAAACATTGGTCTATCAACAAAACACCATAGCAACATGCTGGTTTTGTACTTGAGGAGTTCTATCTGCAGGACATGCTCACCTCAGCGTTCTATGCAGCAAAAAGTCAATTCAGGAAAAATAGCCAAGCTGGTGTTACTGTCCAGTCCAGCAATCAACATCTAATGGACATTGCAGCACCTGTTTCTACCATTGTGCTTAGTAGAGCCCAGGCCACTAGCTGCGTCTGTAGATATTGTCAATGTCAAGAGGTTCATCGTCTATAATCCTTTTTACTTGATTAACCCATATCAGTTTGATCTTTCAAGGCTTAATTTTTCGACATCTAAATAAAACGTTGTGAAGTCAAGTATCTACTAGCTTCCGGCAAATTGTCATCCCATCTCCAATAGGCACCTGCAATCGTCCCAAATAAAATAATGCCATTGTCAGTAAATGTAGCATACTGATGTTGCAGTACTGCTACAAATCACAATATTCTGAAGGACAAAAAATTGTGCACGCTTTTCAAAGATCCTACGAAAGTTTGCACGTAATAAACACATGCAATGCACCAAATAACAAAATATAACAAGGAGAGGGAAAGGGATACCATGCTGATATCAACACGCTTGTTCTCCAAAACTTTCTTATTGAAGTTCCTTATACTGATTGTCTTTGGGTCATCAACCTGAAAAAGCCATATGTGCTAAATATGATGTGTACCATATAACATAACGTGTAAATCTAAAAGACATTATAACTGACCAGTGGATCAGCAACCCTTCCATACCAAAGAACATTGTCCATTACAATTAAACCACCAACTCTTACCTACAGAAGAAAACAGAACTGTCAACACATAAAGCACCATAAGTCCATAAATGCTATTATTTTATATAAATGAATTATAAACCAATATGAGATAACAAAGGTTCTCAAAAATGATTTCTTCAAACATTATAAGTGGCATGAAGAGTTAAAAAGGGAAAAACATTATGGGGAAGGTACAAAAAGCAGCATGTGTTTTACATATATCCAATTGATGAAACGTATGTTAGGTCTTACTAGCTTTAGTAGAAGCTCAAAATATTCCTCATACATTCTCTTGTCAGCATCAACAAATGCGAAGTCATAGCTAGAAAATATGGAGAAGTAAAGGTTAGATAGAAATTTAAGAGGCTACTTAGTTGATGATGGATTATAACAAACCATCAGCATACCTGGAAGCTTCACCACAATCAAGTAGTGATCTTAGAGAATCCACAGCTAACGCATGTCTCACATCAATCTATGAATTTTTTATGCATTGATCAGCACAGAAATTTTAGAGCGCAAAAGCATAAATGGATTCTACCATATAACAGTAATTATTACAATTGTAGGGCAGTTCCAGATACTCAGTGTTTTCAGCTTTAAATGCATAGAGATGGTCATGAAAGAAAATTACTGCTTAATATCATCAAGATTAGATTTCCAATGAAACAGATACAATATGCAGTTTACCGATTTTTTTCCTAATTTCATTCACTACAGTGCAGAACTCAATAGTCAATACAATGTAAAACAAATATAAGGACAGTGAAACATATATCACAAATAAATAAATGAGCACCAAAAATAGTTTGCTTGGAAGAATTTTCAAATTTGCACAAAAAAAGGTTATTGGACTACTTTAAGCATCTTTAATTTGTTATGCAAAAAAAATTTCTCAAGCTGGCTTAAAAACCATACACATTTGATTTAACTTTCTATCCCAGGCATAAGAGGTGAATAGTAATATGAATTACCTTCTGTGCAACACCAGCACGTTTGTAGTACTTCTTGGCAACTTCTAGGCATCTTTCATCCCTCTCACAAGCAACCAAGTGACCAGATTCAGGGAGGGCTAGTGCAACAGCTAATGATGAATACCCCTATACAAAGATGAAAGCATCACTAAGACACAGACAATGGGATTTGCAATATTTTGGAATTTCTGTATACATTTTTACCCATAATGTCACAAAGAACATTTTTATACCCACTCATATATGCTTACTGACACAAACACCATATTTCTTATGGTAGTTATCACAATTCTATGGAAAGCTTTATATGTGCAAGTATATACATTTCCTCAGCATTTGAAGGAAGGTGTGCACCCTAGACTGCCAAAGCTTAGCTGATGTAGGCCCTAACATTGCTAGTTTGCTATAACACACTCAAATTCCACGAAGAAAAAGTGGATTGCTATTGTTTTGTTTTTCTGACTGGGTGTGGATGGTAGGAAAATCCAAAATGGTAAAGTAATCAGTTAACATACAGTAAACACACCAACTTCAATGCAACGCCGCGCCCCAAGAATTTGCACAAGCATTGCCAACAGCTGAGCCTGAGCGGGAGAAACCTACAAAGACAAAGGCACCAGATTAGACAGACAATGAGCACTTTTCTGTAGCTTGCTTGTTGAGAAATATACACAACTTTGAAGTGTATTGTAGCTATGGAAACCGTCATAATATTTTCAGGGAAAAGACTGCAAAAGGCAAATTATATTTGATATGCTACAAGGAGACCAAGGCGATTCAAGGGAATAACAAGAAACTGCAACTGCAACTATGCCCAACATTAAGCTCAGCAAAACAGGATTATCTGTATTTTGCCCTGTAACCTCCAATAATATACTTGAAAACAATACAATACAGTAGAGTTCATTGCATGCATATGCAGAATGTAACGTGGAAGCATCAGTGTGATAAGACAACCAAATGCCAGCCTTATTATATGGCACTTAGAAGAACTAATTGAGAATGGCCAACGATGTTGAAGAACTGCAAATGCAATGCTTTGCATCAGAGATGCATCATGGATTGGTGTTCCCAGTTTTGCGCTTGAACGGACTACTGTGATGTTCTTGCAGAACCATAAGCACACTGCACTTCATCTATGCAACTAACGCGATGGGAACAGGAAAAAAAATGGACACGACAGTTCATGGATGCCATGCTATGCATTGCCACACACCTGCATCTGGCTCCCTCTCATAGCCGCGGTCTCCTCGCGAAGGTCCCGGAGAATCTGGAAAAAATCGAGGACAGGGCACTCACAGTCAGAACCAAAATCAGTGGCAAATTGGCTCGGAACAAGAACGGGTAGATAGAGAGTGGCGCACGGGGTGCTCGCGGACGTTGGCGAGGAGGTAGTCGTAGAGCGGCGGCGTCATCCCGAGCTGCTTCCGCCCGCGCCGCGCCTCCTCCACCGCCGTCGTCGTCGCCGCCGCAGCGGAGGAGTGGTGGGAGGAGCACAGGCGGCGTACGAGGCATGCCGGCGCGCCGCGGCGGCGCAGAGTGGAGGAGATGGCAGCTGCGGCGCCCGGGGACAGGACCAGAGCTCGGAGGGTGCGGGAAGGCGCGGCGACCGCCGGCGAAGGAAGAGGGAGAGGAAGGGCGGAAGCGGCTGCGGCCGCGGCGAGGCGAGGAGACATGTTTGGCGGCCCACACGCCCGCGCTATTGGTTTCTTTCGGATAAATAACGCGAAGCAAGGTTTGCTCCCCAGCCAGAAGGGCCCACGTGGCAGTGATATCAGTTGCTCGCCTATTCCTGGCGCCGCCGTTCACATTGGAAACGGGACCCACCCAGTTGGCTCGTTCCTCGTCAGGCTCTCACCGGTCACCGCCGGTGACGGCGAGCTTCCACGGCGCCTCCTTCTACATTATTGCTTACTCCAGCGTTTTTGCATGGTCTAAGGTAAACTAGATGAATTTTATGTTGGTATATGGTGCGTATATGCATCCGAATTTCTTATTTATGTACTCCGTATATGAAATTACGATGAGTTTTAGCCTCAGCTTTTTTTTTAGAGAAACAAAAATAATCATGACGCAAAGTACTAAGTCTGATTAAAAACTTCGAAACATTTTTTACAACTTTCCACCGTTTCAATATTTGTGGTGTTGTCACTGTTACTCTTTGTGGTTCTGGCCGAGCGTGACATAAATCCAATACAAACTAACGTCAGTCTCAACTCTCAACAAGGATTTCATGTGTCGATTTCCAAGACTCGTTAAAGACAACGGTAATGCTAGAAAGCAGTCTGCCCGCCCGAACGCTCTGTTGATGGGCCGTGCGACGGCAGCTCAAGACCACCCGCTCCTCCGTTTCTAAATAAAAAAAATCCACTCGTCCATGTACTTGTCGCTCACTTGCTCCTATCTACTCACCTGTCGCCTCCAGCCAGGCATGGCGTGCGCCCGGCTCCGACCTTGCCAGGCCACTCTGGCGCACCGTCGCACCATCCCTCGCCGCGCCTCCATCCCCCGCCGCGCCATGCCCATCCTTTGTCATGCCTAGGGTGTGCTGGCCCAAGCTACCGAGCAGGTGCTCGTCAGGGGTGCTCGCGCAGATGCTCACCCAGGGTGCTCGCGCGCCTCATGCTGGTCGTCGCCCAGGGGTGCACCGGCGATTCGTTCAAGCAGCAATGTGACATTGCGCATTGAAAACACATGTTATAAGAGCATGTTTCAAGTGTTTTAGATATTTCATCGGGATGTTGCAAGTGTTTCATGTGTATGTTGCAAAAGTAAATCTGGATGTTGCATATGTTGTAACGGCAATACATGTATGTTAAAAAAAAGCTAATAGGGTCGAAACCCCGGCCATATGAGATGGCTTAATGCTGTGCACACGGGGATTCGAACTGTGGTTGCTAGCTCAACTCTAACACGAGCTAGCCAACCAGGTTCGAGCCCGCTTGCAATACATGTATGTTGTAAGTGTGTTTTCCAAATGTTTCAGTATGTTGCAGTGGCTATATACGTATGTTGCAAGTGTTTTATCTAGATGTTACATATGTTGCAGTGGTTATACGCATATGTTGCAAACGTATATTTCAATTATTTCACCTTGTTTCAGTATGTTGCAACAAGTCCTGCTCCCCACGCGCTCTTACTCGCGGGGCAAGCACGTGCTGCACCAGGTGCCCCTGCACCACCAAGCATGGTCCCTCCCTCTCTCTCTCTCGCATTGGGCACGCGCGTTGTACGTGCTCTCTCTCTCTCTCTCTCACATTAGGGTACACGTGTTGTGATCCCTCTCTCTCGCATGTAGCTGGGCCCTCTCTCACATTGGGGCACGTGTGTTGTGCTCTCTCTCTCGCATTGGGGTATGCGTGCTTTGTTCCATCTCTCTCGCATGCAGTTGGGCAGGCAGGAGGAGGTGTGGAGCGCAACAGCAGGGAGGAGGCGTGTGTTCCCAAAAAAACAAGAGAAGGCGCAGGGCGCGTCCGGACATCGGGGCGCTATCATGTCCCTAAAAACAATGTAGAATAATTTTATTCCGGTAAAACTCATTCCACTCTCATAAAACTTAAATCATCTCTCTTCGTTTAACTAAATTGTTATCTTATTTAATACCTATGAAACTCTGATAAAAGCTCCCTAAGGCCTCGTTCGTTTCCCCTGGAATGACTACCTGGAAAAATTCTAAGCCAGAATGCTAACTAAATTTGTATAAGCTTCATCGGTTGAAATAATTCCTCGGGTCGTTCCACTCTAACGTAACGAACCCTAATTAAGACCGGTCTAAGGGCCTGTTTAGCACAGCTCAACTTCACTAATGAAGCTGTTTCTTTTGCAAAATGGCTTCATGGGCACCTTTCTTTATGAAGCTAAGCAGTTTTGAAAAATTTATTAAGCAAAACAGCTTCGTCTGAGAGACAAAGCATAAAAAGACTCTAATGCCCTTCTCTTTTCTTTTTTCTCTACTATGTTTCTTGCGTCGTTTCGTGTTCATCGCCCGCCCCGTCTCCCGCGACCACGCCCTGCCCCGCGTCTGCGGACGCGCTCGGCCCCACGCTGGCGGTCGCGCCCTGGCTCCGCGCCGGCGACGGTCGCACCCTGCGACTCCGGTGGCAGCCGCGCCCTACGAGTCGAGCTTCGCGCCCTACCCCGCGCTGACGGATGCGCTCGGCCCCACGTCGGCGGCTGCGCCCTGCGACTCCGGCCCGCGCCCCACGGCGGCGTATCTCTCGGCGGGCGCGCCCCCCACGGCGGCATCCCTCCCGGCAGGCCGCGTCCCCCACGGCGGCGCATCTCCTGGCGGGTCGCGCCCTCCACGGCGGCATCCCTCCCGGCGGGCCGCGTCCCCCACGACGGCGCCCCGTGCCTGGCGAACACTCCCCGGCGACTGTGCCTGCGACGAGCCACGCCGCCGGCAGCTGCGCCCCCAGCGGGCCACGGTCGGCGCGCTGTGCCTCGACGATGCGCTCTTCGACGGGCCGCGCTCTGGCGCGCCGTGCCGCCGGTGGCTGCGCCCGGCAGCCGTGCTCCGGCAGACCATGCCTCGGCGGCGTCAACACCTCCCTTCCCCGAGCGTTCTCTCTCTCCCCCCCTCTCTCTCTCTCTCTCTCTCTGTGGTCCGGGCAACAGTAGTCTTTTGTCCCTGCTAGGCCCCACACATGGGTGATGAAGCTGGGATAAACTATTTTTTTCTAGCTTCATCCTAATTTATCCCTTTGTGAGAGGAGGAGAAGCTGTTTTGAAAATGGGTGTTTAACAAAAAAAAAAAAAACAGCTCACGAAGCTGTTGTGAGCTATGTCCAACAGGTCATAAGAGATGAATCTCAAAACTCACTAAATATATTGTAAAAGTCTTTACTGAAGAAACTTTCTATAAGACTAGTTTTTGTGGGGGTTTCATATTGTCTTAAGATTCCTATATGTTGCAAACCTTATAGATAAGTTTTATCCCATGAGACTTATTTCGTCCCATAAAATTTTTATTGTCTCTCTTCATCGATACTATACCATATTGTCTTATTTAATGCTCATGAAACCACCGCTGGCCGTACAAAAAAGATGAACCTGTTTGCCCCAGCTAAGCTTGGTGATGTCCATGGAGTCTTTGTTCCTTGCATGTCTTAAAAGGCAACTTAAGACGTCCATGGAGTCTTAAGAGGTCTGCCTCTATAAAGGCAAAAAAAAAATACTTTAATCTTTTCGGGTATGTGCGGTTTCTTACCCTACTGTACCACTACACTACAAATTCGTTTAAGTTTAGATCTCGTTGTGTGGGGGGTATAACCCTAGATAACCACGGCAATGGACATGGGCCACAGCATCAGGGGTGGTCTAGCCCATAAGAAGAAGGCGGTGATGCAAGACACTGATCAGCATACATCACACAGTTTTAGAAAGAAATCTTGAAGATAGAAAAAGATCTATTCGGATACGATAGATATCGTATTCATTGTAAATACTTACTATATATCCGAATAGATCTAGATCTAACCGACTTGTAATCCTGCCTCCAGACTATATAAGGCGGGTAGGGACCCCCTCGAATTCATCTCATATTCAATACAATCCAACAAAGACACATGACGTAGGGTATTACGTCGATCAGACGGTCCAAACATGTCTAAATCGTTGTCTCTGTGCCTTGTGTCACCATCCGGTTTCTATTACGCGCACCTTCACCAATCATCTACTACCGTGGGTATACCCCTCGGTGGACTGCCGACCAAATTTCATCGACAGTGGCACGCCAGGGAGTGTGCGCGCTAATCCTGTGGCGAACCAGATGAGCCTCAAGATCAATGCCATCCGTGGCAATTTAGCTTCTGGCAGTGGCGTCCTTCACCTACGATGGAGTCGTCGTCTTGAGGCTCTTGCGGCGTTGTGGCGGCTTGACGTCGCTGTGCGAACTTGTCGTCAAGTCGGCTATCTGCGTTGGCGTCTCCGGCGTCGTATACATGGGAAGCAAGCCGAGATTTCAACGAGATCGGATCCGCTTCCCAGCTTCAACAGCGTCATCGAAAGCGACGTTCCGAATCTACTCCCGCAGATTTGGCATCGACCGCTACTTCTGTGAACCACGGCATCAGTTCATCGTGACCCTGCAGGACTAGATTGGATTTGCATGTTGGTTGTTACTGACTACCAGTCCACCGCATGCATCAACATTCGGGTGCAAGCTGTCAGGCAAGCAAGAAATCAAAGGCCGTGTGATCTACAGTGCCATGCAAGCTAAAGATAGTCAAGATCTCCGTCAGGCTCGCATGTGCTCATGTATCTCCGTAAGGCATACAAGCAGAGATGCCTCGCGGACGAAGGTTACGACCTGTTCAGCGAACTGATCTGACCATCTCCCCTGGATCACGTGTTTCAATCTACAAAGCGCCTGGTCCATTAGCAACCGCCTCGTCTCGATCGTGAACCACTTCATCAGCAGCATCATCAAGCACCGTGTCGGTATCGACTCACCTGGTGTTGATTCCAACTCTGCCCGCGATTCCATCTCGATCGAGAACTCTGACTCTCCTGGAAGTTCTGACTACATCAAGCCGCCAAGCAAGCCGCTAAGCGAGCCGCCCGAGTCGTCGACCAGCGTCATAAGGACGACCATCGTCCGGACTACTCGCTCCAACCGCCTGCCATGTCACAATATTGATCGCCGCGAAGAACGGCGCTATGACTACCGCGACCGCCGCCATGACGATAGGCTAGAAAACTCGAGGGCCGGGCAATTTCGTTGACGCCGACCAGATAACATCATACGCCGCCGATCAGACATTTTAACTAAAGCTAAGTACCTCTACTATATTTGCATTTAATACAACTTTCTCCAATTATTTTCTCCGAGTTTTCGCCATGCTTCTTCAATTATTATTTCTTCGGTTATTTTCCATAATTAAATGTCTCCACGTTTAATATCTCTGTGTTTAAGATGTTCCATAATGCAATATCCGATCAGTTGATCGGACTGTTCGGCGCTCACTTCTACTCGGCGCTCACTTTGCCAACCAACTAGTAGGATTGTCTGTCACTTCATCGTCAGCTACGCTTAGGGAGAACCAGATGGGAATTTTCCATCATCATCACCATCTGCGGCGACGACTCGGCTCCGTGAGACGGCGATCTCAACTCAAGGCTCTGAGGCGCAGCGCTCTTCGTAAGAGTTCTCCGGAGGTCCAACGCTGCGCTTCGTTGGCACCAATCAAGGAGATGGCTACATGCGGCAAGCCAGCAGCATGTAGGTCAACTTCAAGAATTCGGCTGCATCACCTGACATCGACTTGTCATCATCCTTTGGCGGCGCTCGTCAGCCCTCATCGATGGCTCGCGTGGTCCTTGCTATCGACTCGACATTACGAGGCAACTCACGGCGACGCATTGTGATTTTCACTAAGATCAACGTCAATAAGCAAAGGACGACATATTATCTAAACAAACCATCACGGTGTTTTGACTGCATCTACATACAGCCTCGAGCATGCATGCAAGAAATAAATTCCCTTGCTACCGATCTACACTCACAAAACGTGACTCCAACGTTATCAATCCAAATGAGCTAAGTCATAGTTTTTTCCATTGAATATTCTAACATATATAACTTTGTCTACCTTGATAACTGTCAGCAGCGGCGGCGCCCTATGCTTTCTCCATTTGTTTTTCATAATTTTTCTCAAATTACTTATTTCTCCATGTTAAACATCTTTAAGATGACGTATACTATCACCATTCAAATCGGACTGCGCCCTCGCCTCGGTAGGACACGCTTAAGGGCTTCGCGTCCCCACGCGAATTGACTCCGCTAGGCTCCGAGCTGCCGAGCTGCCCGAGCCGCCGTGACGCCGTGTTGCCGAGCCGCCGTGCCGTTGAGCCGCCATGCCGCCAAGCCGCTCGAGTCACCGAGCCACTGTGCCGCCGAGCTGCCGAGCCGCCGAGCTGCCGAGCCGCCAAGCTGCCCGAACCGTCAAGCGAGCCGCCTCAGTCGTAAGCACTCTCCATGTTCTCCAAATTTCGCCATGGTCTCCATATTTCGCCACGATCTCCAAATTTCGCCACGGTCTCCAATGTTCACCATAGTATAGTGCCAAACACTATCCAAATTTTACTCCAATATCCAGTGCTAAGCACGGGGATTTCATTCTTTTTACAAATAAGAACAAACTTCAAATAAACATAAACTGCTCTGCAGGATATGAAATTCATCGATATATCGCTCCTGATAAACTCCGCTCTGCTTTCTTCATTACTGCGTTCATATATTCTGTTATCCGTCCTACATATTTGTATTGCAGGATTATCGTGTAGATGGTCGCACCACCTGGCCTTCGGATTTCTCCGCCGATCAACTGGTCGGACCGTAGGTTCATGCCTTCGTCGCCGACCAGTTGGTCGGACTGTTTGGCGTTCACATCTACTCGACGTCACTTCGCCACCGACCGGTTGTTTGGGCTACTCGGCGCTCGATTCTTCGCCAACCAACTTGTCGGATTGTCCGTCACTTCATCATCAGTGATGCTAGGGCCCCGCCTGCTAAGCTGGAGACTCCCCGGGCGATCGGATTTTGCTGGCTCCCGAGTGTCGATTCACCTTTTGGCTCACTATATTTTGCCGACGCCGCATGTCATATGTGCTATCAAGGTACTCCATGCTGTCCAGATCAGGGTGTTGATCTTGGGCGGCACGTCAGGAGCCTTAATAAGTACATCTATCGCAGCAACCCAGTGCTAAGTACTTTCCGTTTTCTCCATGTTTTACTTCTTGGTGTTATCGAATTTTACTATCCAGTGCTTAACGGGACTTCGTCCTTCACACTTAATTCTTTGATCCTGCTACAAGATGTTTCTCTATCTTACAGCAGGCTCGGGGACTAAGTGTGTACACTTCACCTTGCGGTGAATGTACTGTTATTCCTTCTTACTGGTTTTCAGCTAAGCTAGGGGTTAGCTGTGTGCTCGGCTACGCTGGGAGTTGATTATCCTGATTTAGTGATTATTGTAATTCTTTGATCCTAACACTAGATGATGATCATCTGACTTCGCCAACAAAGCCTAAGTGTGTACACTTCACCTAAGGTCGATGTCACCGGCAAGCTCCGCCGTTGCTTTCTCCGCCGATCAACTAGTCGGACCGCTGGGTTCATGACCTTCGTCGCCAACCAGTTGGTCGGAGTGTTCGGCTACACCATCATCAGACATCAGGTCATCATTCATCACACAAGTTGCTTCATGGAGATAAAATCAGATTTAGTTCGACAAAGAAAAGCGCCAAATGCTAGCCGTAGCCAGTGTCTACAAAAGTATGTTGCAGGGGCCAAATGGCACATCACCAGCCATTCCCATGGCTCTTCAGAAAATGTAAAGGGGTCCATACTTTTAAAACTGTACCAACTGATGCTGATCTCCCCTATTTGATTTCCAACAAAAAAAAGAGAAGTGCTAAATGAAACTAATGAAGCATGCTCCCGCTAAGGAAAACACAGTCGCAGATAGATCATCTTCAGTGGTGTCTGGACTTGCTGATGATGCTGATAGTCAGCTGACCCCCAAACTGCAAACTGATGAATCAATTGATCAGCACCCCATACAAGAAGACAGAATAGACATAATCTCACAGAGTGTTTGCAGAATGCGACCAGAATACAGACCTTAACTTGTTCCAGTGAGGCGGCAGGATCTTATCTTCGGCACTTCTGTGCCTTCCATTGCTTCAGAACGTGCTGTATGGCTTCTGTTATGCTGGCCTTTCGGTTCTCTTTGTTGTTCCAGAGTTCAGATACCACGTAGCTGCCGCTAGCGTTGTACTCATTGATCTCCAGCAATGCAGTAGTCACAGCCTTGTACACCTCCTCACCAAGCTGTTTCTTCAAGCCCACCAGCTTCTCATCCTTGTCATTGATGATTTGCTGAAACATAACACATCAGGTTAGTGTTGCCAATTTGCCAAGCTGCGAGACAACAGGTCCTCTTGGGTTGACTGATTAACGCAGTTAATTTGAGGTTTAAACAGTTAATAAGCTACATTGAATCAGATGACGACAGTAAGACGAAATATTGACATTGCTAGGTATTGCCAGAAAATTTGAAGGAAGATAAAAGATGTGCATTCTTTTCATTGGGCATACCTCTGTAGTTGAGCCTGTGGTCACTATCTTGAAAGGATGCCAATTAGGGTCCTTCAGATGCTCTTGCCACAAGGAGACAAATTCAGCAGCTTTCATTTCAGCATCTTCTCCATACCTTTGCTTGCAAGATAGAACAAAGGGCTTCTCATCCAGTTCACCCATTCTCTTGATTCCAATGTTGCTACGAGGACCTAATAAATCTGCCAAACCCTGCAAAATATCCACAAAAACTCTCTGAGGCAGAGTCAAAAGGACAGGAAGGCTTATTTGAAGGAACCCATGTCTAAAGAAGGCGTGGATCTAAACATGATAAAATTAGGAAGAATATCTAACTAAGGTATGTCTCTGCAGATTTTCTGAAAATATACTGCAATATGATATTACCGTGATCAACTCTTTCTTTGCATCTTGAATCTCATCATTGGTCATCCTTTCTTTAACAACAAGAGTTTGGTTGAGAGCGTCAAGATCTTCCATCTCTTCAATTCTTTCATTCAGTTCTGCTGTCAGCTTCTCAGAATGTTTCTTCACATCAACACCCTCTCCTTTCATGTGTTTCACCACCTCCAGTTTGCCTTTAAGTTGTTCAATATCTAGCTCCAGCTTTTGTTTTTCATCCACCTGCCTTTCTAACTGCAGGATTTTGTTCAGAGCGTCCTCCTTCTCTTTCTGTTTTGAGTTTTGGAACCCAAATAAGTTGGGGTGCATGAAAACTAAAAGAAAACTCAATGGCATCAACAAGAAAAAGGAAGGATGTGCATACCTTATGTTTCTCAAGAAGCTGTAGCACCCGTTGATCAGCTTTCTGTTGCTCAATTCTAGCCATGTTGAGGGAATTGTTTTGGTCAGCATTCTGCAGGGAAATAAGTACAAAAGATTGGTATCAATATATTATTCATTATTGGCAGGACTATGAATCAATTCAGAAACTTTCTGAAATGTGATAGTGATAAAGAAGACATGTAAAATAAGAGAGAATTCCCTATCCTCCATTGAAAATAGTTGTTGTTCCTTCTCTACCATCGTAAAGTTAAAATTTTGTTGTAGACCATAGATGTTGATGATTTTTGTTATTACTTTGATTCACAGGATGGATCCTAATTCTAGTTATTTATTGGAAATCAGAATTTTTGGTAATCCCAAAAAAAAACTAGAAAAGATTGTTCTAGTTTTGTGATTGAGAAGGTTTTAGACTCAGATACAACAAACTTTAAGGACTTTGTTGAATGGATGGTAGACAAGTACACGCCAAGTGTTTCCAGAAGCTGAACATAGGGAGTGTATGTTCCATTTGGTGACCAACTTTAAGAAGTACAGAGGTAAGGTATTTGATGATCACCTTTCGGCAGGAGCCTACTCATGGCACCCACACTTCTTTGAGAAGCATTGGTCAGCAATGGAGCAAGCGAAATCGGCAGCAACTGAATATCTTAGGAATTGGTGCAAAATGTTGTGGACTAGAAGCCAATTTTCATCAGATGCAAGGTTGACTATGTAACCAACAATCTAGCAGAGAGCTTCAACAATTGGATAAAACGGTAAAAGTCCATGAACTTGGACGACTTAATGGACAAGATCAGACAAGTGCTTATGGTAAAGTGGAACCAAAGGAGAAAAGTTGCCATGAAGTTGGAAGGTTCGATTCTACTCCACATCATCAAGAAATTGAATGAAAGGAGCAGGGACTTAGACATGGATGTCTTGGAGTGCTCAAGTGAAGTTGGTGAGGTATCTGTACTAAGTGGTAGTGGCTTTAGGTGTGCTGTAAACTTGCAAGGTAGGCCTGCACCTGTAGAAAATCGCATGTTTGTGGCATCCCTTGTGTCCATGCTATTGCTTTTATCACATCGTTGACCAATGTACCACTTGAGAACTATGTGGACTCCTATTATTCTGTACAAATATTTAGAGCTGCAAATGATCACCTAATCCCAGCGATGCCAGACAAGTCCCAATGGCCCAAAGGTTGCCATGGATTCTTCATGCACCCACCCCTTCTAAAAAGCACGGCTGGTAGGAGGAAGACAGAAAGGTTTAAAGGCTCTAATGAGACTGGGGGAAACACAACTAGAAAGAAAGGACAACACAAGTGTCCTATTTGCAAGGACTATGGGTATCATTGGCACAAATGCAAAAAAGGGTGACCCAGCTGACATTGCAGCAATGATGTCTGTGAGGTACTAAGCTGCAGACTTTTGTTAGCTTTTCCAGTAATTGTTTATGCAGTTATTCATGTTTTCTTTTGGTCAATGCAGAGGGCCACCCAAGAAGAAGAGGAGAACCACCATAGCATCCACATAATCCAGTGTTGTTCCTTTTCATGAAGAAGCACCAGCAAGTTCTATGAGGTTCCCACCAAGGTTTGCATGGAAAAAATGCTCTGAATTCCTTTTGTTTCCATGAGTTTGTTATCCAAATTATAACTCACTTCATTTTGGTACTGCCAAAACATTGACATCTTAAGTTCTGGAAAGGAAAAAAACTAAAAAAAAAGGCACCTCAAGTTGCAACTAACAAAAAAAGGCAAAGGCAAAGTTGACAACTCAAGTTCTGGAAAATCTTTGAGGTAAAATATCAAATCTGATTGTGTACATGACTACATGTACTTGTGACTTTTAGCGTGCTGAAAAATATCTCCATGACTTGCTGAACTGAAATGAATATGTATACATGTTCAGGTGTGGTTCTGGAATTGGCTCAAACCAACCAGAAGCTCTTTCCATCGAGTATCCTATGGCTGGGTCAATTTCACAAGAATAGAAACAAGGACAAGGTGAAGATGATGCATCAACCAAAGAAAGCAAGAAAATTGCAGCAGCAACCAAAAGAAAGGAAAGGCCTGGAGGGAAGGCAAAGAACCTCAAAAGGAAGTGGTGGCACTTGACAGCCCAGCCATGTCCACTAGAAGCAAGACAGTGTTGCCTACTAATCCTTCTATGGCCACAAGAAGTAAAAGGAGGCTTAGTCTGCGAATCACCTTATTCTAATTTAATATAGAGATGCAAACATGATGTACTGTGAGCATATGCTCCTTTTGCTTGGTCTCCGTAAACCAATCTGTATGAATGATTTGGGCACTATCTATGTACTATGAATGTGAGACTGTTTGTGAACAACCATGTCTGTGATGAATGCTATATAATATGATAAAATCAGTGATGCGGTATTTTATATATCATTACCATTTGTATTATTATTGTGTGATTATTGGTATGCCAATAACATTCATTTTGCTGAAAATTGTATATATCATGATGGCAGGAAAGGGAACATGGAAATATTTGCAGCATGCTACCTTAAGGGTATATTGGTCTTTTCCTACACTGACTCACACTGTTAGCAGGTTCACTGGACGGCAGTGTCATGAAGGGATAAAAGTTTAATTTGATGGCTGGTAAGGAAATTTTAACTTTATGATGGCAGAGAAGGAACAACAACTATTTTCAATGGCGGATAGGGAATTCTCTCTAAAATAAACAGTAGCACCAATAGAAATGAGGATGCACCAATACCTTTTTCCTCTCTTCCTCCAGTTTTCTTCTTTCCATGTCAGTTTGAGCAACTTGTTCATTTAGTTCCTTGGACCTTCCTTTCGATGCTACTCTCTTTCTCAGCCAACTGTTTTCTCAGTTTTTCAGTCTCCTGAAAAACTATCTGTGTATGCTCACGGGCAGCAGACTGCATATTCCTCATTTCTGTGAAAAGGATAAATAAAAATACAAAAGGCACAATCATTTTAGGCAATATAAATGAGCATAACATCCATAAAGTTCTGACAGGAGAATATTTCACAACTGGAAATCAATGAGTGTACCTTCATTATAACGTTTGTGCAGCAAATCACTTTCTTCCATAACTTTCTGAAGGGAGAGATTCATTTGATTACACTTGCACTCTAGTTCCTGCAGATACTTGCTTTTAGCGGTGATCTGTTGAGTCAAATTAGCTATGAGATTGTCAGTCTTGCTGGACATCTCTTGTTCCAATTCAGACACTGTCTTGAGGTCACCATTTGCTGACAAGAACCTACCAACTGGGCCACCTGATTTGTAATCCTCTTCTTTTGCCAGCCATCCAAACACATATTTTACATGTTGCTTTGTTTCCTTCCATTCCAGTTTACCCAAGCGCTGTGACTTGAAATAGTTATGGAATGCTAAGGCATTCTTGAACCCAATCCAATCCTTGGTGAAAAGAACAATGACGTAGCCAGTATACCCATTGTCACCATACACAGCAGTAACTTGCACGGGTTTGAAATCAGCTAGCTGCTTCATCAGTATGCCTCCACCCCCCTGGGTTTGTTTGGCCGGAACATTTGTGAGGATGCCCATCCAGGGCCAAACAAACACTTCCAGATCTTGCACTGGCTTTGGAGGGTTACTAAGCGCAATAGCCTGCCGTGGTGGCAATGTAGCTGCTGCATCAGCATGGTCCTCTTTGAGAAGTTTCGCCAGGGCCTGGTGGTTTGCCTTCACCTTTGCAGCACGGTTGGATGCGCCCACCCCAACAGCGTGCTGAAGCAGCTCGTTGTAACGGTAGTCCTGCTTCTTCTTCCCTGGACAGAATGGGCACCTGAACCTGTCACTACCCAGCCTTGCCACAAACTTGCCAGACTTGAGGTCCACGTATGACTTCTCAGCATAGTCATCAATATCAGTCTCACTTAGCTCTGATGACTCATCAGAGCTGCAGTCCATTGCAGACCTAAGAAAAAACAGAAATATCCATACAGGTCAGAACATTATTCACTTGATTCAAGAACAACAAAATAAGCTGGGCAGACATAAGAAAAACAGAAATATCCAATGCAGACCTAAGAAAGACAGAAATATCCATTGCAACAGCATATTGTTCTGACAAGATTCAAGAACTCGTTATGTAATAGAAATTGTAATAAGGTGGCAGATTGTTTAGCTCTCCACGGAGCTTATGTGTTGGAGTCTGGCTCAGATATGTTAATGAGCCAAGTACCTTCATATGTAATGGACCTTGTAAAAGGCGATTTGCCTGTGAGTGATGTTTAATGTAGATGCTTTTCTGATATAAAAAAAAGATTCAAGAACAACAAATAAGAAAGAACTGGTGTCTAAGAAAATTATAAGCTGTCCAACAATCCCGAAAAGGCACCAGCCACCGCCAATCACACCCCAAGCCCAGGCCCGGCACACAAAGCACAATGTACCTCGACCTCGATGACAGGCAGCACCCTAGTGAGGTAATTTTGCGAACAACTTGCGCTGGTGGTCAAAGCAGCCAGCCAGCCAGCCACGCCGAGGGTTAGGGGTTCCCCGGCGGTCCCCCGCCCCCAGCGCGCGCACGGAAACCGACATCGACGCCACGGGACGAGACATGGGTGGGGGTCGACCGGGTCAGCGACCACCCCCAACCCCAAGACGGAGCGTAGAAGCGACCGGACGAGGTCGACGTCAAGTCGCTGCGGCCGCCGGAGCCGGCGGCAGCGACGAAGTGGGTGCAGACAAATGGGAGCCCGGAGCCCCGGACCGTGTGGGGTGTGCTAGGAAGGAAGGAAGTGGTTCGAGGCCCATTACAGGCGGGCTTGGTGCTGGGCCAGGAATAATCTCCGGCCTTGTTGTTCTCCCCACGGATGCATCGACTGAAAAATGATCTGTGTTGAAACATCGTGTTTTCTTTTATAAAAAAAGTGGAAAGATCGTGTCGAGATGCAAGAACACACCCAAAAAAAAGAACGAACAGGCAGCAGTATAATTAGTACGCGTAAATGGAAACTATGCAAGAGAGCACACTGTAGATCCAAGTAAAACAGACATCCGTGCCGCATCTCGTTGCAAAAGTTTCGAGCCGCAGAGAGGGGAGGAGGTACGTAGAGAGGGAGGGAAGGCGGTACAGCTCGTGCACGTACCACTGCTGATCGTGTGCCATCGGTCGATCTCGACCTCCGCGAGGGAGATGAACGAACGGTGCGGTGCCTGTGTGTGAAATTGCAGTGTAAGCCTCCACCTACCTGCAGGAGTGGGAAGGCGATGGAACAGTCAGTTCAATACTTAATTGTTCATGGAGCAATAATTAGTTTACAAATCCGATCTGCTGCGATCTACTAGGAGAAAGCAGTGGTGAATGCAGTTTGAAGAATTCTAATGCCAATCATCGAAGCATATGACCACCAAAGTGCCAAAACCCCCAAACCCCCAAAGGAATTAAGCAGCCAATCAGAAAACCCCAAAGTGCCAAAACCCCCAGCGTGAGCACAGGGATCTGAGCGACGCGCGCGGAGGATAGATCATAGATGGATGGTGGATCAAAACGAGGAAGCAAATAAACACGAAGAAGAAGAGCACAGCGCGGGTATAGCCGCGGTTCCGTCCATGGAGCAGGAGCAGAGCAGCGCAGAAGTGCAGGCGCGCGTGGCGTGGCGTGGCGAGACGAGCCATCAGCAGCACGTCCAACAAACGCTCCAGGTGCGGGCGTGGCGTTCATCAATCATGAGGACGAATCGAAACGAATGAAACACGAGACTACCGAGCGAGCAGAACCACCGTACCAACCAAAAGAGGCGAAAGCAAAACGAACAGCCACTCACCGGCGAGCAGAGGTAGATGGATGGATCGCTCTCCTCCTCCTCCTCTGTTCCTCCCTCTAGGCCCGGCCCGGCGGCTCTCGCGGTTGCGGTGGTGGTGGAGAAGAAGCAGGCAGGGTCGCGGAGACGTGACGGACGGACGGTGTGACGGAGGAGAGGGTTTTCGTGCCGGCCCTCTGCTCCGTCAGAAACAGAGGAGGGAGGGAGGGTTTTCGTGCCTCTTCTGCTCCGCTTTGTAGCCAGCCAGGCAGAGAAAGGGCTGGAACGGAGAGGCCGCTCGCGCTCGCGCTCGCCCGTGTCTCACTGGCGATGTGGGCCTAGTAGAGCGCGGCCAGCACCGGCCAGCCTCTTCCACTTCCACTCCGTCCGACTCCTGAATCCTCTCCTGGCTCCCCCACGCGGTCGGTCGCTGGCACCTGGCATGCCATTCGATTTCGCTCGCGGCCGTGGTCCCCGTACGTCGCCCCTCCGCTCTCTGGACTCCGGAGGAGAGGTGGGCGTGGGCGTGGGCCCGGGAGCGCGGGAGCCGGGAGGCGTGGTTGTGTTCGCATTCGCAGCAGAAGCAGGCAGAGGGCCGGGCGCGCGTGATGTCGTCAGCCGCTGCGTCCGACGTCGCACGCAGCGTGCCGAGAAGCGAAAGCGAGCTGTGGTTTTTGACTGGCCGGGGGCCGGGGTCGCTGCGATGCGAGACGGGGTTTCCTTTGCTTTTGCACGAGACGGGTGCTGCCGTGCGCGCTGCGTCTCCCGTGTCCGTTGTGCCAGGCTGGGGCTGGGTGGTCGCATACTCGCATGGCTGGAGTGGGAGGGAGGACACTGATGGATGCTCGGGCCGGCCGCTCGCGCGCGCGTGAGCGGCAGCCGGCGGGAAGGCGATGCTGAAGCTTTCGTTACAATTGTTAAGACGAAATTGAACAATCAGAGCCCATGGCCTAATGGATAAGGCGTCTGACTTCTAATCAGACGAATTTTCTTTTTTTGTTTAAAAAAATTATGCACATGTTTTACCCCTCATTTTTACGTTGCTTATATGTTTTTTTTTCCATAGATATCTTTTTACACCTTCTTTGCCTTGCTTACTTGCTTATGCTTATTTTCATTTCCACCTTTTCCTTCGTTCACTGTGCTCACAGGAGCAACGGGGCCGAAAAGCACGCTCCGACTGCCCAGCGGCAAGGACTGGACGGGACTGAGGGACGACCTACTGCTTATCTTGGCCTCCTCCAAAAACGGCAACCCCACTGCACACCGAACAGAGCACCCCCCCCCACCCATACACCCACACATAATTTTTTTTATTTTTAACACTTTTTAAGCTAATTTTAAATCTAACATCGTTTTTTTTCTTCAAAACTAACACTTTTTGCCGCGCCTATTGTCACGGCGCGGCGAAACGCCTGTGCCGCGTCATGCATGGTGGCGCGGCAAGAGGGTGACGTGGCGAAGACCGGGGCCGCTGACCGGTGACATGGCAGGGTCTGCCGCGCCACCGATCTTGGTGTGGCCCTGACGCGCCACGGCGCATGGCGTGGCAGGATCAGATAAATATCGCCCATGAGCCGCCTCAATCCCGAGCCATACTGCCCCGCCTCGCCGCTGCTGAGCGCCGCCCGCCACGCCGCGCAAGCGGCTGCCGCCACTGCAGTGCACCGCGCGACCACCGTGCCGCCCGTGCCCTGAGCATTTGGCGTCACGGCCGTCGGCCGCCCGCTCATATCAAGGTAGGCTCTCTCGATTTCATGTTATTATGATTGTTATTTTAGTTAGGGTTAGTGATTTAGGATAGTTAGGTTAGTGAATTTGTTAGGATTTGTTAGTGATTTAGGATAGTGATTTAGAATTTGTTAGTGATTTAGGATACTTAAGGTTTAGTGAGGTAGTTAGGGTTTAGGTTACTGTTACTTAGAATTTTGGGTTTAGGGATTGATTTTGGGTTTATGTTAGGTAGTTTTAGTTAGATAGTTAGGGTTTAGGTTACTCTTAGTTAGGATTTTGGGTTTAGAGATTGATTGTCGGTACTTAGTAGTGCGTGATATGACGATTTGGATGACTTGATGAAGTTTCGTCAAATATTTATTTTTCTAGTGAAGTTGTTTAATATGTCCGTTAATGTTACTTTGAATATATACATGTGCTTTTATATTGTGTTCGTATTGCATAACAAGTAGTTTAAATTTTGCAATGCTACATAATGTTAATTTGAATATTGTTAATTTGAATAATTTAACCTTTTGTTTATCAATTTGTAACAGGATGATCCATCCCACGCAGCACCCGTTGTGTCCCATTCTTGAGGTGGAGTACGACGACCAGCATTGAGCACACATCTTGAGTGACACCGACGCACAGGTGGCCTTGCCTACTGAGGCCCCGCACGCACACCAGGGCGCACCAGTGGGACGAACGTTACGCGCTGTATATACGGCGTGCCGGTTTCCTCGAACTTGTCCGTGTTGTCAACTACGGCCTTCCGCCACTTGACCCAGCACTACTTACTGCAGTTGTAGACATGTGCAAGTGCCTCTTTGTACGTAAACATTCTTATAACAAATTTGAGTCAACTAACCGTCGTTCTATTCTTATAATAGGTGGAGGCTTAAGACCCACACGTTCCACCTAACTTGCGGCGAGATGACCTTGACCATGTAGGACGTGAAGGCTATCTTTGGCCTTCATTTGGGAGAACTTCCAGTGACAGGTATAGTTGACAACGATCACTGGAGGGAGCTAATGGCTCAGTTCACTGGCTTTCTTCCACCGGACGATGAGGTTTTAAAGAAAAATAAGTGAGCAATTCAAGCCTATTTAATACTTGCATTACTTTCCTACAGCCATCGGGTCTCATTTTTTTTGGTGAATTTCAGAAAAAGTTCCGGAGTTTCGTCGTTCCGGATCACAGAGCGCTTTGATTACTTAGACCCATAGGCTGAGGAGGCTCAGATTGACAGGTTCGCTAGAGTGTGGCTCTGGCACTTCCTTGGTGCTTTCCTCTTCCCAAACGTCTCGGACAACACCATCAGCTGGATCTTCCTTGATATACTACGCCAGCCATGGGAGAACATAGCGGCGTACAGCTGGGGCAGCGCAGTCCTGGCATGGACATATCGACAGCTATGTGTTGCCTGCCGTCGCACCTCAGGGTATGCGAACCTTGGGGGTTGCTCCTACCTGCTTCAGGTTTGGTGTTGGGAATGATGGCCCGCTGAGAGGCCCCTTAATACTGGTTTACCGGTAAGGACTTCGGTTCACTATATTCTTCGAGGCAGTTACATATGATTAAATTATTAATGGCTATTTCATTATCGTGTTCAATGCAGCAATGGAACGGGTAGGATACACTCCCTACAGCTCTGTATATCTGGACAAAAGCAGAGTTAGTTAGAGGGAATGCGAGGCGCAAGTACAGGGAGTACACGGACAGTCTCGACGTCCTGACACAGCATCAGGTTACGCTCTCTTAACTATCATATATGTGTCTTGTTCGATGTACACTATATCACAACCTAACTCAATTACGAAATGTTCAGGTGCATTGGTGTCCTTGGGATGCTCTGGAGCTCGAGTACTATCTGAGTCCTATCACTAGGGATGAGTCAGACGAGTATCGCTGCAACGTCCCTCTTATTTTCTTCCACGTGGTCGAGATTCACTTGCCCATCAGGGTCTGCAGACAGTTTAGAAGAATGACAAGCTGCCCACCACCGCTTTACTCCACCAACCAAGAATTGTACGGGTGCGTTATCGATTAATAACAAAGCTACAATTCAGAGGTGTGTGTGGTACAACTAACATAATTTTGTTGCAAGTATGACCGCAGGAAGAGGTATAAGACCAAGGATTGGCGCGTTACACACAACGCGCACATCAACTTGTGGCAGAACAGGGAACGACAGCTGGTCCATGTGGGTCCCCCACACGACCAGCACACCTTCGACGAGTACCTGCGGTGGCTTCACATGTCTACGAGGACACATATCAAGCCCCCGTACACTGAGCAAGCGATTGACGAGGACTCGGAGGAAGATGTGATCGAAGATGTGTATGACATTTGGGACGACACACAGCTACAGAGAGCCCCGCTTCAAAGATACGTGGTAAGATACTTGAATGGTGCAATTTGTTATCCATTTGGTATTAAGTATGTGTACTAAAACTGTCCAACCGTGTTTCTGTACCCAGGCGACACAATTGTCAAGGATGTCCAACGAAGCAGCGTTCCGGCTTCACGAGTCTAGAGGGCAGGGGCCAGGCGTTTCTCGAGGCTTTTGTGGAGGTAAACATAAACTTGTTTGTTCAAAAATGTTTCTTTAGTGTATATGCATTTGGAAAATGCACTAACTTTAACGTCTATTTATGTAGAAGGTGAAGAAGAGATGCAGGAAGCTAGCTCAGAAGCCGAGCTGCATGGACGCTTGGGTGGAACCGCCACTCCCGGCGCGGTCGGGTGGCACGTCTTCAGCCTCTTTGAGGACACCAACCCGGCTCTTTCTCACCGGTGGTGAGTGCCACTTTCAGCGTCATCGTACACCACCACATCATAGCGCTGGGAAGGACCTTGCAACCGAGGACGATGCGACGACCCCGGGCTTCCGCAGACAACACGACCAGTGGGACGATTGACCGCAGGACAAGATCAACATGTCTCAGCTAGATGGTGCCCCGCTTGGTACCCAAGGAGCCTCGCATGTACTAACAAGGTAGTTTCTTTAAATACGTAAGCTCCATGAACTAACGATCATAAAGATTATAAGTAATCGTGCATATCATATACTTGAAGGGTACGAGCCATACACACCGGCACGGTACGACCACACCGACGTTGGCTACACTCCCAATGTGTTGCGAACAAATCCGAAGAGACAGAGACGTCCGAGGGATTCTTACACTCTTGGGTCTTAGTTTGTTAGGTCGAACGAATATTGGCGTCCGAAACTTTCAGGCTTAATTGGTTATGTTATGTCGAACTTATGTCAAACCAATGAAAATGTTATGTGGCAACTTATCAACTTGCGCACAGACTCTATTTATTTGTTTCATATTCGTTTCAATGCGTCGCGGCAGCACTGCCGGCGAGATTAAGTAGCAACTTGTTCAAGAACCGGCAGTCCTGGCGTATCTCGACGCCGGTGGCCGACGTCTTGACCCCAATCCTCCCGAGCTTGGTCATCGCCGAAGAAGGCACCCTGGTTAGACGCGCAGTAGTCGACCGTGCTGCGCGACCCCATGTCGGACTAGAGCACCTGGTCGAAGCCCACCGACGAGGAGTCGAGGAAGCGGGAGTTCATGGTCCATGATCGCGTCGCTGCGGATCCTCACCGACAGCAGCCGATCTTCTGTCTGCGTCCAGGTCCTGCCGCGCCATGCTCCGTGGCGCGTCAGTGCCACGCCAATATCGTTGGCGCAACAGACACTACCACGTCACCGGTCAGCGGCCCCGGTCTTCGCCACGTCACCCTCCTGCCGCGCCACTATGCACGGCGCGGCATAGACGTTTCGCTAGGTCATGACAATAGGCATGGTCAAAAGTGTTAGTTTTTTTAAAAAAAACAGTGCTAGATTTAAAATTAGTTTATAAAAATGTTAAAATTAACACAAACCCCGGCCCCCACCCCCCCCCACCCCAAACGACAAGGTGGAATAAAGCCAGCGCCAGTGCGCCACCTTCTTTCATGCAACTCCTTCCTCAACCGCTACCCACAGATGTCATAAGACGAGTGGGTGACAGCTGACAGGTGCCATCGATACTGTGACACACAATGGTAGCTTTGTAATCCTGTAGAGGATACGTATGTAATTCTGCCCGGCGGCCACGTAAGAACCGCAGGAATGAAAATGGTACTGCTTTGATTCTATCTCGAATAGCCATGACCGCCATGTACGAGTACAATACGTCGGCAGCATCCTGCGTTGTGAGTCTCACTATTCATTCAATTACAAACAATCGATGACAGATCAAGATTCTGGGCTGCGAATAGCAGGCTCCTGCTCCTCCTGCAGCTATTAATACGAGAGGAGAAAAAAAAAATCAAAATCGTAGAAGCCTCAAGAATTCTACAGCAACTCTTGTACATTCGGGCACACTGCCCGTCTGTCTCGCTTCATGTGTTGGTCAAACCAATCTCCTTGGCTCAAAACCCGTTGTGCCTGTTCCCGGTCTTGGATGACTTCTGCTGCTGTTCCAAATCGTGGTTGAAGGCGGCATCCAAGGCCTGCAAACAACATACCATCGGTTTGGTCAGTTTGTGACCATTTCTATGGGAGAACAATTCATGAAGCATGCACCTTGAACGTGGGATTGGGATTCAAATAATGCTCTTCGTTAGGAGTACATGGTAGTGAGAGGAATGTTTACAGACCTGAGTCATGGGCTTTACTAGCCGAGATATTTCATGTCTTACATCAGGCTGTGCTGATTCCTTTATAAGCTGCATATTCCAGAACATACAAAAGAACTTCAATGGTAATTTGAGTATAAACCCATTTTAGGTGACAAGTATGAGGGTTCTGCATATCTAAGCAGGGGACGGGATCACGGGGAGGGGGGAGTGGGGGGCAGGTGTCAGATGTGCTGACAAATATTTACCTGCAACTTTTGATATATCTGTGTCATAGCTTCTTTAACTCTTTGAACCTTCAAAATAAGTAAATTAACATCAAAGCAAATGGCATTAGAAAGAAATGCATGTCCAGAGTGAAGCTTTGCTATACCAAAAAAGACTACAAGCATGATATGGCGCACTCAAAGCTTCTCTTCTTGACATCTTAAGTTTTTAAGACTCTGTGACAGTCTTCCTGGATTTAGCCTTCCGAAACTAGCACCATAACTACATTGGTACAAAACCATCAGAACTAGGGCAACTCATAGTTTGGATAACATACTGTACAACACAATATTACAGTGTGCCACTCCATTTTTCTCAGTGATGGTCCTCTGACTAAAGCCCCCTTTGGCACGGCTCACCCAAAACGGCTTCACTGGTGAAGCCAAAGCCGGTGAAGCCAGAAAAACTGGCTTTTCCCGGCTTCTAGTTCATTTTAACCCCAGCTTACAAAACGGCTTCACGCTACAGTGTCTCGATTTGCGCAAAATAGATGAAGCCGAAGCCGGCATAAGCCGTGCCAAAGAGGCCCTAAATCAGTGCACCATGCAAAATACATCAAGCAGCTGAAAACATTTTTTTAATGCAAGCTGCTGAAAACATCTAACAGAAGAAACATGGTGGATGTACAAACACTTCCTCTAGTCCTATAAATCAGCTAAGTTTGCACTTATAACATGAAATCAAGAAGTTTGTACTAATTTCCAACTAAACATTTTCTTCTTAATATAATGATATGCAGCTCTCCTGCGTGTTCGAGATAAAAAAAAACCAACTGAATACACCATGGGTTACAAAACAGTGCTGATAACGATGGGGGAGATATACCTTGTTATAAAGGACTGCACTTGTTATTGGATACGATGACCAAAAATGCCATAGCAATTCCTGGATAGCCGTCCAATGCTGAGAAAATAGATAGTTTACAGAAGTTCCATCATCACAAGAGTATCCATACATACAAAACGAAACCTGTAGTGAATACAGCATCTCACATCCATAAGCTCATCCCGTGTATGTTGAGGCAGCTGACCAAGGAGACCTTCTTGAGGATTCTTGAGGTTAAGTCTCCTTGAATGAGAAATCCCTTCGTTCAATTCATTAAGAACCTAGGCCCATACCATTTAGGTAGTTAGGATTTCCTGCTCATGCAATTTAATAGCTTAAGAACAGAGAAGCCACAGTAGCAGTAACACAACATCATGCAAACAGTTGCAAAAATATGACGAATGGACCTTTACATACACATATTACTAAGAATGGGATACTAATAAACCAAATAACATGTGTTTCCTTCTTCCTCTCTTTTTTATATGATCTTTACGTGACACATTTAGGGTTCCAAAGCTCCAGCTCCAAGACCCATGCAGGATTTAGAGCTTGAAAGAAAAGGTCAAGTGGTTTAAACATCTGGCGTTCAATATAAATGATTCAACATTTCAATCAAATGCCCTCAGTTTAGCCACACATCCAACAATACCTGGACCTAGGGAATTCTTGGAGTTGGAGCTCTGCCAAACAGGCCCTTAGATACATCCTAATCGCCAATACATCCAACAGTTAACTAATTATGTTGATTACACCAATGGTAGCCTGCCTTTTACCACTGGCTTCTGTCTGTTACCAGTTGACTAGTGGACTGAGACTGACAACCATATTTGCAGTCCTGGTGCTGGTTGACCTTTGAAACTTATAATTGGTGACGAACTGATAAAAGGATTAAAGTTGCTTTGTAGTCTTCAAAGTGTCCTTATCCTAAACTATGTCTGTGCACTCCTCTTGATTTGACCGCTAACCCAACAATTTATTTAGTGCCGAATCAGCTATTACTCAATACACTGAGTAAACTAAGAAAAATTAAAATTGTTTACCTTAAGAGCCATATCAGACTGAATAATCGGACAGTTAAGCTTATTAACTTTAATAGAAGACATTTGGTCCATTAAATGATGGAATGCTTCTTCAGTGCTCAAGCTGCAAGTACGAGCTTTTCTTCCGGCGTTGCTGCCACCTAGAGATCTCAGAGCATTTGCTTGCTGGGAATCAAAATATTCTCTAGGATCCTAATAAGAAAAAAGAAGACAAATTAATACAGTATTTCTTATTTTGGTTGATATATCTGCTATTACGCCATGAGCACAAGCTTTACCTTTATACAAAGTGGTGCATACGGAAGGCTTCGTGGAGCTTGCAGATCCTCTATCTCCGTCATTCTAGCCACCTTCACTAGTCTCTCATGATTAGCATCATCAACAATAGAAGTGGAAGGTGGTTCTGCAGTTAATAATTCATCAGAACACAATATATTACATGTGTAAAAGGATTCAATTGAATTCCGATGCCATCTCTAACCTTTCTTGGACCTTACAAGGGCTTCAGCTGAAGTCTTTGGATCAGTCGACTCAACATCTACAAGACAAATAAAACATAGTACACTTAATGGATTGAAAGATAGCTTAAACAATTGGCAGAATGAAAATGAAGAAATAGAAATGCAACATGAAAAACGAATCTGATCAAACGAAAAAGGGAAAGAATAGACACAACAGAAAGCCACAGAACAATTACTACAATAAAGGTATAGTTTGCAAACCAAACCCAGGCTAGTCAACTTGTATAATCATGAAAGAGCTATGACCACAATAAATTATTCAAATGGGTGGCAAACAAAATAATTTAAAATCATTTCACTCCGTTGCTGATGTGCCCTGGAATCCCTGAGAATGGTACCATCTCAAAGTCATAAATACTGAGAACGGTTACCATCTCACCCTGCTAACATCATAACATGCTTGAGCAATCAATTGTATTAAGGAAAACAAAAGAGACATCACGAAGTTTCTTCGATTGGCTCCATAACTACCAAGAGATCTCCCTTCAAGAACAACAGCTGCATGACGGTTCAGGTCCTGAGACAGCGTCCTCCTCGCCAAGTCACTGTCAGCATCGACTGTCTCTTTGTTACCATAACGGTGAATCCCATGGTCCTGAGTGTCCAAACACATAATGATTGAGCAGTAATTTTAACATAGGATAGCACTTCATTGTAAACAGAAAGCAAATATGCTCAATATGAGAGAGTCTAGAGACCGCATTTGTCTTAAAAATATAAGAAGATAATAGTAGAAAAAAATCATACCGGAAGATGAATGTAATCATCTCCAGTGTCTGCCTCCATGTCTAATGTTGGATCGACTCGTTTTATCTGCAACCAACAATCGAGTCACTTGAAAGAAATGGCACCAACACATGGTAACAGAAAATGAATTACAACAGCAATCATTGCTAAAACTAAACCTTCATCTTTGACTCCTTGGCCACTATATCATCATTCTTCAGGAAGATAGCCAATTCCTCATCTCCAGCAGCCTCAGCTGTTGCTGCTGCAGTGTTTTTTGTTCTAACTAGATACTCAGCTCTACAGTATTTTTCCCAAAATCGGGTTTCTGACATCTATCCTCAGAAAATATAATAAAATGAGAAGATTATGACAGAATACAGCAGAATATATAGAGCATAATGAGAAATCAGCATCGACTCATACAGAATCAGTAATAACACTAGGAAAATTTTATGCCTGAATTTTCTACAGTTAATTTTAAGATATTGATAATATAAATAGGTCTTACCTTTTTTGGAACAAAATCTAAATATGCTCTACGGACAGCAGGCTTTTCTGCAAAAATCTGGAAAATGAAAGGATATATGGCGTTAACAAGTTGGAAGAACTGTATCTTCAAGACTTTACATATCAATTCATTGCAAAATTCAGATATACAATCATAGAATCCAGCACTTGCTTCCGTGAATAATATATGCCTCAGGTATAATGGAGTAATATTGGGGAAACAGGACCCAGAGCAGGTAGGATTCAAAGCAAGGAAGATGGACTTTGCAGCTATGGACTAATCCTAACCTGACTGGCTGGGGTGGAAGCATAATTTTCAGTGTTCCTGCTCAATAATTACCTTTGATCGCATCAAACTCACATGCACACAATGGAAATTATATTTTCAAGATATAAAAATTGCTTAGGCCCTGTTTGGTAGGGCTCCTCCCCGGCTCCGGCTCCTTCGGAGGAGCCCTACCAAAAGCTTTAGTAGGAGGAACCGTTTGGAGCCGTTTTTCAGTGTAAAAAGGAGGAGCCCTGCCAAACACCCCCTTAATAAAGGATCACGGCATCATGCATGAAAGCTACTAAGGAAACAGAGAAGTTATAGGACTTGCTACACATTCATATACAGATTAAAAAAATCTTTGAAAGCCTTTTACTAACAAAAATGTTCAGAAACTCCATAACTCACAAAATGACGTAATTTTCATTTTACAGCATAGCATAGAAATTTTGCAATTATAACAATTGAGGAAATAGAAAAATTGATGTTACCAAGCAGCATATAGGTATTAGTTCATGATAAAGAAGCAGAGTGGAAAGGCGGACCTGATGTATCATCTCAGGCGTGATCTGGAAAGTAACTTTGTTTGTCTGAAATTCTCAACATAGAAATAATAAAATAAAGTTAATTACCATCAGCCATCAGCAAATTCAGTGTCTTAGAATAGAACATAAGAAATAACATAACTTATCAATACTCTGGTACAGAATTATGGTCTACAGCTACAACAATAGTATTTCAGTGACATACCCGACCATCAGTTGTTGGCTTAATATCTACTAGTGCATTCTTGAAACCTGGCCTTTGTTTTGATCTTTTATTTGCTTCATCATCAAGTAAATTCTGCAAAGATCATAAGGAAATAATGGATCAAGTGAAGAAACATAAAGTGTACAGCTAAAAATTACTAATCAAGTAACAATATACAGGATAAGTGAGTTTTACCTTTCTTGTTGCCCAAAATTCAGATTCTTGCAAAATATTTCCAAGAACAAACTTCTTATGTAATTTCTGCAATTCGCTGTAAAGGGAAATGTTAATCAACAAAACTGAGAAACATAAGAACATTTTGCCTTTTGTTGCGTATGATAATTTGCAGATTTTTTTTTTTGCCATGTTTTTTCTAACAAATCTATGGACTTTCAAAATCCATACATGTAGCATGTTCCAGAACGGGAACAATTAATAACAGTGGTCAAAGAGATTAAAATGATAAAATCAATGGTATAATTAAAAAACAAAACAGAAACACCATCAGAATTATATGAGAAGAACAGATAGAAGAAAAACTTTGTGCTTCGTTTTAATCCTTTAGGTGTAACACTATCAATGTTCAAAAAGGCGCTAGTCAATTTCTAGGCGATGACCCATAGCCTAGAGCCTAGGCGGGCCTAAGCGAGCCTAGGCGTTTTAATGTTTTAACTTTAATTAATACACATACATATATTACCCTAGATTATCTTAAATAAAAGAAGAAATATGAGACATGTGGACCTAAAGTTGGAAGAAAGGCCCATCAAAGGAGCCCAGCCCATCTTATTATCCATACTCCTCCCAGCCCCTTCCATCCTTTTCTTATAAAAAAAGAAAGAAAAGAAAAAGGCCCTTCCATCCGCATGAACCAGCTTATCCTTATCCATCCGCGTCTCCTTCCAGCCGACACACCTGCTTGAGCATAAGCGCCCGACTCGCCGCCCTTCTCCGTCAGCCGGCCGGCTGCTCGCTTCTTTCTCCACCGCTGCCCGGCCTCCTCCTTCAGAAGACGTGCTCAAGACGCGCGCCTACCACCACCGCCCGCACACGTCCGAAGCTCCTCCTCTGTCACCGGCGACCTCCACCAGGCGCTCCTCCTCCCTCACCGGCGCCGCCGACGAGCTGACGCCGCCTAGGGGTCCGCCTACCCCCTAGGCCAAGCGGGACCCCCTCGCCTAGTGCCTAGTCGCGCCTAGGCGGACGCCTAATGTCGCCTTTTTGAACATTGAACACTATACAAGTCATTTCCACTATGGCATCCATACTACCACAGCCAGCTTTCTGATATGGCACCATTTGCAACAAAGCTCACCAAAATGAATAATAGAGACTGGTAAAAGGTGACGCTCTAAAACTTTCTTTATCTAAAAGAGCATAGGGAAAACCAAATCTTTGTTTTACAAAAAGAAAATCTTAAAGAACACTAATCAACCAAACATCTGAAATCTCAAAGAATGTAAATGAGCTCAACAATTCTAGCAGATTAAATTTGTGCCCATAATAGTGAACTATCATCAGAACATATTTCTGTGACCAAAAGAAATAGTCTGGATATATCAAATAATCACATCACCTGTCTTCTCGCAACAGTTTCACCCGTCTCTCCACTTCAGCAGCACTGAGTTGTTCCAGAGCAGCAGAAGCAACTGAGTTTTCAGGAGTCACAGTTGGATCTAGGAGGCACTATCCCTTGATGTTTGCCTAAAACCCTAGCTGCGAAGAGGATGTATTAAGTTATGGATGCATCTTATTGGGTAATAGATGCACGAAACTCAATACGGTAGCTTTCATGTGAGTCAGTGTCATATCGAACTTGGCACAGCAAATAACCCTTAATCCAGAATTTTGTTATATTCCTTATAAAATAGTCACTGTTATGTTATAGTGATCTATCTTATCCTATGTAGCAAGCCAAATGCGGTCTGGCTGGAATGAGGTATCTAGTCCAATTCTTATATTGCAAGTAACTGGCATAGGAGAAAAGTTTATGCGAGAAACAGCTAAGTACTTCACCTTACTTTCATTTCATGCCTACATTAGATATCTTCCAAAGAAAATATTATCTGTTAAGTTGGCATCCACTAGCTACAAAATGAGCATTACCTACAAAGTCTCGACACAGGTCGCGGTTACCAACATTGTCAAACTCAAATATGTAGCCTCCAGCCTGAGAAAAATATAAATGCATCTCATATTAACCTTGAAAACAACTAGAAACAAGGCAGAGAAAATGCTATAAATTGCTCAAACCTTGTCTTCTTTTGAAAGGTTCAATAATGCTGCTTTGTTACCCTCTACTTTGTTGAACTTGTGACCTGGATCACAGGCAACAAATCAAACTGTTTCGGTATGCAGGAAACTCTATCACAGCTTAAATTGTTATCTTGAGTCTAGTGATCATTATTTAAGGTTAAATAGTTTAAAATGACCCTGCAGTAGATATGTTATAGGTACGTGAAGATAAGTTCCACAGTTAATTAGGTATACTTAAGTACTTAACAAGTTTGTATGCCAAATCACCAGCATAACAACAGAACTTCCATGGACAAAAGTAAGTGCATACCTTTGATGGTTCGGAAATCAACATTGAACTTCATTGCCGACCGTGGATCATTAGGGGTGAAGGTGAACCTATCATCGTTCTGTAATTAGAAGGACAACGAACCGATCATAATTGGACCCAACAGTGTATTGCTGAGCAAGGAAACGAAGCCGGACGCTAATGCAAATGGTACTAAAATTGAACAGCAAACTAAATGGTGACCATCCATACATGAAAATGCTGAAATTAGCTTGGCTCACCCCTCCGCATCCGAACCTCCAGGATGAGGAGGGCAACCCACAAAGCTACCCCTGTCCCATGGCTAGGATTTGCTACCGCTGATGAGCACAAACCCGCGCGCGCCTCCACCTCCACCGATCCAATCAGCGGCTAGTCTCCACCGGGCCCTCGATTCAATTTGCCGCGCGCCCCAGAAGCCGCCGACCAAAACCCTCGCCAGCAACAGCGGCACACCCCGGAGCCAGCTAGCGAACCGCGCGCGCGCGCCGGGAGGAGAGGGAGGGGAGATAGAGCCGCGCGGAGTGGGAGAGAAGGGGGAGGGGAGGGTGGCACGCACCATGCGGAGGATGCCCGCGGTGCCGGGGTCCTTGATCGTGGTCTTGTACTTGGCGCCGATCGTCATGGACCCCATCGCCGCAACCGCCGCCGCCGCGGTGGCTCGCCTCGCCTCGCGGTCTCGCTCACCGGCGTCGGAGCAAAGCCGAAGGTGCGGGGGAAAAGGGCTTAGGCAGCAAGCCTACAAGTAGAAGCAGGCTAGTGTGATTTCGGCGCGATGGGCTGAGCCGTGGGCCAGCGATTCGGTCCAGGACGGCCCATTTAACGAAGGAGAAGTGGGCATGCATTTGCCCCCTTTTTCCCTGTTCATTCATGATTGCCAATCAACCAGACGAACAAAAAACCAAATGTACAAGCCAAGAAGTGATAAATTGGAGCAGAAATCGCCAGGGTTTTATTGATCCTTGCAGTAATTTGCTTGTGGCTGCATTCGCAGGAGCCGTCGGGGAAGCACGCGGTGCTGGCGGTGCAGACGATCCGCAACAACATCATGGCGTCGACAGCCATCACCCTGAGCTCTCTGATCGCCGTCCTCATGTCCAGCGGCAACGGCGGAGACGCCACCGCCACCTCCAACAACAACAGCAGCAACAGCGGCGGGCTCCTCCCGGGCGCGCCGCTGGTGGTGGGCGCGACGGGCGCGCCGGCGCTGTCGGCCAAGTTCTTCGCGATCCTGGTGTGCTTCCTGGTGGCGTTCCTCCTCAACGTGCAGTCCATCCGGTACTACAGCCACGCGAGCGTGCTCGTGAACATGCCGCCGCCGCGCTGCCGGGCTGCCGTCGGGTACGTCACGGACATGCTCAACCGCGGCAGCTACTTCTGGTCGCTGGGCGCGCGGGCGTTCTACTTCTCCTGCCCCGTCTTCCTCTGGCTCTTCGGCCCCATCCCGATGTTCGTGGCGTGCGTCGCGTTGGTCTGCGCGCTCTGCTTCCTCGACGTGTGCAAGGACTGGGAGGAGGTGGAGGAGGAGGAGAAGGAGGAAGGCGGCGACGGCCATGGCCACCATTGTATTAGTGATGACGAGAGGTCAAGACAAGGGAAGGATGCAGAGCAGCAAGTGTGGAGATGAATGTGCTAGCATTTTTAGGCTAGAAGCAAACAATATTTCGAGATCGATATGGTACTGGCTACTGACGAAGTGAGAGTGAGTGGATCCGATACGTACCTATCATAGGTACTGTTCGGTCTCTTGTGCTCAGCTTGTTTTTTTAATTGAAATAGTATTTTTCTCTTATAACAAATTAATTGGAACAGTATTTCGATTTATTTTTTCAGCGAAACGAACGGGGCCTATAGTTGCATATACATAGGACCACCTTGAAATACCAAATGCTTGGTATAATTTGTTCTTTATTTGTTTTTTCTTTCTTTCAATCTATCATGTATGTAAAGCAAACTTGTAAATGATCAAATATTTCGACGGAAACCACGGAAAAATGAAGGGGGTTGCTAGCGCCCGGATATCCGGACGGAAGCCTGCGTCCGGACGCCAGTGCCAGCACCCTGTTTCCCGCGCAGCACCCCAGTGCACCCACGCGGGGCCCGCTCAGTCCACACCGCACGCGCTGCCCACACGATCTACAACACACGGAGGACTGCTCGTGCCTCGTACGTTATCCACGCGCATGCAGGCAGGGACATTCTGTGCTCGCTCGATGGCGCCCAGCAACTGTAGCAAGCGGCTGCAGCAGGTGGTCCCATTGCAACATGTGTAACGTCAAATTTACTTTTGCAACATCCAAATGAAACACTTGCAACATATGTCTGAAACAGTTGAAACACTTACAACGTACGTCTGAAACACTTGCAAAACACCCGAAAACACTTGAAAGCTATTGCAAACGCATATAACATCCTGATTTACTTTGACAACATCTAGATAAAAACACTTGCAACATACGTATGAAACACTTAAAACATATGCATGCATGTTATGCAACATCCAAATATACTTCTGCAACATCCAGATATAACACTTTTTTTTATGAAAGGCAATTTTATTAATTAGCAGCAAGATGCTGCTATGAGGGTGAAAGAATCACCCAATACAGAGTTTATAGCTGTCAAAACTGGACAGCTGCTTACATCTAAAGGATTAGTACAAACATAGTGGCCTTCAGAAGAGTGTTCAACAGTTGATTTGTAGGCCTGACTAGCTAGAATATGAGATGTTGTATTTAGTTTTCTGTCAATCTTGAAGATTCTCCCCCTGTTAGCTGTTGTATAATTGATGAAGCACTGCGTCAAAGGTTTGATATCCCACCTAGGAGGATTGGCATGATCCTTCCCATTAAAGAAGTTAACCAGCAACTGGTTATCTGTGAGGAAGAAAGGCTGTTGTACGTCGAGTGCCTTAAGCAAATGAGCAGCAATAGCCAAAGCTGCAGCTTCAGCCATAATGACAGAAGAACATTCTTTTTGTTTGATTTTGATGAAGATTGTCGATGCAGCATTTGGCAAGGTGCTGACAATAAATATTCCAAGTCCTGCAAATCTTGAAACCTGCAAGTGGTTGTCTGGAGAGGTGGATGCATCACAATAGCATCTAGTTCAAGGGAGAAGAGCAGGTAAGGAGACTTTGTAATTAGGTGGGCCTGGTAGTATCATCAATTGATTAGAGCAGAGATGATCTGCATTTGGAATCCTCCTGTTTGTTGCGCCACCTACAAAAACACAGTTATCGTTTTCTTTTGTAATTGCATCATCATTCATAGTAGCTGTTCTAATATCCGCCTCAACAGCATGGTGAACCTGCAAAACAGTCCATTTTTTATTTTTGAAGCGGGCATCAGTCCTCGCTTTCCAGATGTACCAGAGGATAGTAAGTATTCTATGAAAATCATCATCTGTAGTGGTAGGGGTGATAAGAATTGATATTATTTCTTGAATTCCATCATCTTCCTGTGGCAAATTTGAAGTGATCAGCGGAGGAGAGGCTGAGAACCAAACTACTCTGGCAAAAGTGCAGTGGAAAAAAGAGATGAGTCATTTTCAACTAAGTTGCAAGTAGTGCAATGTCTGTCAATTTTAGTGGAGAAATTCCCAGCTCTGACACCGGTTGCTAAAGCTCTTCTGATCAACCTCCAGGTAAAAGTCTTGATGCATGGATGAATTTTTTTGTGTTTCCATGCTCTTTGCAAAATGTGGAGAGCTTGCTGTGTGATTCCTCTAGCCCCCTGAGTAGTGATTTGAGCCTGAAATTGTTGGTTAAGAAATTTGAAAGCTTCTTTAGTAGTGCAAGACCCCTTCTTACCTGGTTTCCATCTTAGAATATCAGGAGAATCAGCTGCAACAACAGGCGTTTGAGTGATGTTGGAAGTGGCAGTATTATCAAAGATCTGGTTAGATTAGAGCATTGTTCCAAGTTCTAGTATTAGGAAGCCAAAGATCAGATATTTTTTGTGGGAAAGTGTCAACCGAAGTAGGAAAATTAACATGATCATAAATATTTTCCCATATAGAGCACCAGGGCATAGATCAAATACTGGAGTTGCCATTGTGAATCTGAATGATGCAATTTTTATGTAAAATATCTTTAATCTGAATAATGGAAGACCAGAAAGCAGACTTAGTGGCGTTGTTCTTAGCAGTCCAGAAACTATTATTAGGATAATATTTAGATTTGAGCACATGAGTCAAAAAACTATTGTGGTCAGGAGCAATCTTCCAAGCAGTGTTAATAAGAAGACTGTGATTGATTTTGAGAACATCTCTAATACCAAGACCACCCTCATTTTTAGGCCTACAGATGTCACTCCAGGAACGAAAATTAAACGGCGAGGTTAAATTATCTTCTTGAATTTGAAACACGGCGTCGCCAACAGTCACAACCTACCTGGTGGGGAACTACGGTAGCCAGCAAGCGGCGCTTTGGGTGCAGTGTGGAGAGGGAGGATGGCGGCAGGCAAGCGGCTGGGCGCGGTGAAGAATGCCACGCCAGAGCAGTTGCCGTGGATCATCTGCGTCAGCTCAAAAGAACTCGGCGGCGAGTGGTGAGTGGCGGTGGGGAGATAGGAAGGCAAGGCGACGGCGCTCGGGCGCGCTGTAGCACGCCGCCTCGTTTCAGCAATACACTGTTGGGTCCAATTATGATCGGTTCGTTGTCCTTCTAATTACAGAACGATGATAGGTTCACCTTCACCCCTAATGATCCACGGTCGGCAATGAAGTTCAATGTTGATTTCCGAACCATCAAAGGTATGCACTTACTTTTGTCCATGGAAGTTCTGTTGTTATGCTGGTGATTTGGCATACAAACTTGTTAAGTACTTAAGTATACCTAATTAACTGTGGAACTTATCTTCACGTACCTATAACATATCTACTGCAGGGTCATTTTAAACTATTTAACCTTAAATAATGATTGGGGTGGAGCACGCCGCGCGCGGTGCGGGCGCGGCGGCGATTCAAGAGTGGGCGCGAGAATGGATGCGGGTGCAACGGTGATTCGAGAGAAAAGTGACAAATATTTTTATTTTGAGCAACACAAGATGGGTGCGTCCGTGCGGATGACAATGTTGGGCCTTTCAGGCGGGTGTCGAAGCCCACCAACGCGCGTCCAGACAAAATGAGCGTCCTATCCACTGTATTTCCAAAAAATGAAAGGTCTAGGCAAAACTACGACAAATATACTTTTTTTTTGTCATCACAACGGCAGGACCTGTACCCGGAATGCAAATGCCACGCTCTGGACGAAACATTTTTTAAAATATCACCTACAAGCAAAATAGTTGCATTGATTTAGAGCATCTTGAAGAGTTCCTAAAACCCATCCCCAATCTTGACTTTTTGACAAGATTTTAAAAAAACTCTCTCCAACTACTCTTTATCTCAAATCTTAATCTTTCTGCAGTTGGAAAAATCGATCCAATCATGTGGAAATATACGCGTGCGAATCTAATCGGGCGATCCGAATAAAGAGATGGACAGGGTTCTCAATACAAAAGAATCATTAAAGAAATGAATCATTATGCTCGATCAGACCCAAGGATGGAAGCATACCGCCAGGTATAGATAAACAGCCTTGACGACAAGTTTGATGGAATTGAGTTTTCACATGTTCTTATGCCAAGACAACGATGCAGTAGATACACTCGCCAAGATGGGGTCCTGACTAGAGTCTTCCTCTAGGAGTCGCATAAGCTATTGATCCAAGTGGAGACAAACGAAAAGCAAAAATGAAGATCCAATCAACAACACATAACCTGATCATCAAACCTGACTGGACTCAATCTTACCTCAACTACCTCCTAGGACTACGAGAAACACAGTCCCACGGGACAAAGGCCTATTCGTTTGTCTGAATTTTGGAGGAATCTGGATGGTTTAGAGAAATGCTGGAGAAATTTATGAGAAAAAAACACTGTTCCGGATGAAAAAATAAACGGCTCAAGCCGAATTTAAGGGCACGCGAACGGGGCCAAAAGCTGAAGCGAGTTGTCTCGCTCCACATGCCAAGTCAGACACCGTGGTCAGGGACGAAGTGTACAAGAGAGGCAAGTCCGAAATCATTGAGCAATTCATATGTGAAGATCATCAGGGCACGCAGTCGTACGCAATATCCGCTCAGGAGTCAAATGCCAGTCAAGAAAGCCTTCTGACAATGCTTCTACTAGCCGATTCCAATCGCTGACGCAGATCACATCGTACGCACTTGTGAGGGTTGTTAGTAATATGCATGGCAGACACACCTACCAGCTTAAGAACTTGGATTTTTTTTAATCTTTTTTATTCAATATTTCAATAATAATTGTTTTTTTGTGTGGATCTGACCTTTTTGGTCACGCCAGTCACGACCAAATAACGTTGTCGCGCCACATGCATTGGCACGACAATATGTGCCACGTTAGACGCCGTTTTCGACGTGAAAAACTTTGTTGCGCCACTCCCGCTAGCATGACAGTATTATTCTGTCGCGCCACCGGGAGTGGCGTGACAAGACTGAAACATTAAAAAATCATAACTCTTTAATACGACGTTGGATGAAGATGAAATTTATAGGAAAATTGTAGCTCTCAATGAGATCTACAACTTTCTAGTTTTGAGTTTCTTCATTTGAAGACGTTACGATGCTCAAAAAAATAATATAAAATTTTAGAAACATAATAATCGCCTACGAGGGTTGTCGCATTATTAGAAAAATAGTATCTTTTTTGTATTTTGTTAAATGAAGATACTTTTTACATCAAAGTTGTAGCTCTCAATTAGATCTACAACTTTATAGTTTTTAGTTTTTACAATTTAGGTTGTTAAGATGCACAAAAAAATAATATAAAATTTCAGCAGCTTAATAATTGCATACTAGCGTTTGTCGCATTAGAAAAATAATACCGTTTTTGTATGATGTCAAATGTAGATACATTTTATATCAAAGGTCTAGCTCTTAACGAGATCAACAAGTTTTATTTAAAAAGTATTTTTATGCAACATCAAATAAGAAATATATGATTTCTCTAAAAAGATAAGTTTTAAAACATGATTAATATGCTATTAAATTTTGTATTATTTTTTTGGGTATCTTAACTATCTCAAATGAAAGACCTCAAAATTTAAAAGTTGTTGATCTCATATTTAGCTACAACTTTAGTATAAAAAGTATCTTCATTTGACACCAAACATGAAAAAATATAATTTTAGTAAAGCGACAAGACCTAGTGCATGATTATTATGCTATTGAAATTTTATATTATTTTTTCGTGCATCTTAACAACCTCAAATGTAAAAACTGAAAATTATAAAGTTGTAGGTATCGTTGAGAGCTACAATGCAAAAAAGTATCTTCATTTGACAATATACAAAAAAATATATATTATTTTTCTAATGCGACAAGCACTAGTACGCGATTATTATGGTTCTAAAAATTTATATTAATTTTTTAGCATCTTAACGTCCTTAAATGAAAAAATTCAAAATTAAAAAGTTGTAGATCTCTTCGAGTATAAATTTCATCTTCATCCGATGTCATATTAAATTGATTTTTCAAAAAGAGTTATGATTTTTAAAATGTTTTAATCTTGTCGGTAGTCCACCGAGGGGTTGCCGTGGTGGTAGAGCGGTGCGTGTAATGTCAGATGGTGACACAAAGCGCGCAGAGAGGCAAATGACGAAATATGGTCGGCGATCGATGTTTACCACCGCAAGAGGGTTGCCGGTGGTGGTAGATTCGATGGTAAACGAGGGAGACAACGATTTATACTAGTTGACGCAGCAAGGAAAGTCACGCGCCCACGCCTAGTGTGGGGTGGATAGTATATTGCCAGATGTGGTTGTGACACGATCTAGAAGCCTCCTTTATATAGCTAGAGAGAGGCGAGAGTCCTAGTCGGTTATTTAGAGATCCTAGTAGGATTATGTGTAACTAGTTCTAGTAGGATTACATGTAGGGAATCCTAGTTGGACTAGGTCTTCTTCTCTCTTCTCCGTGGGAAACCCCACGGGTCCCGTATCGATAATACCCTACGTCCTGTGTCTTTGGTGTATTGTATTGAGATGTATATGGATTAACCTGTCCTCTAGGGGACCCTTGTCTCTCCTTATATACTCCGAAGAGACAAGGTTACAAGTAAAGTATCCAATTTGGTACTATTACAATATCTAGTACAACTTGTAATCTTGATGTGCACGTCTTGATCTTACGGACCGGGCCACCTCGGATGGTGCGGCCCATGTACCATCTTGTGGTACCCGGGGGTATATTCTCCACAGCTAGTCCCCGAGCGCCATGTATTCTGATACGACACGCCGATTCAACCTTCTCCGAACAGTGAGGCTTGAGTTCTTAACATCTCCGACCACCGTTGTCGCCGGAGAAGTAGGTTATCCGAAGAATGTATGGTGCTCTTCAGAAGAAAGAAAAAGATTTTCATCCTGGGAAAGCTGATGGAGAGAGATATGCAATTCACTTATATTCCAACAGATATTTTGGCTAGCCTTATATTGCATAGGAAGAATAAGGTTAAACATATGGCAGTGGAGGCGCTCCAAACAGATATCATTCAAGTAATAAATAGCAGTTGTTTTTTGCCCTAACTGATGGACTATGCATCATCGGTATATGATGAGCTAGCTATGTTATTACAATTTGTGAAGTGACAGCAAGTGCATTTAAGCGATGCTTAATCTCCTAAAGCTATTCTTGCTAAGTGTCTTTGGTCTTTGGCCACATTGGAACTTGAATAGATGGTGGTCAATCTTTCATGTTGCTTTGCAAGTGGAATAATCTTGAGTAAACGCCATCTTCAGCGGAGGTCAACGCTTGGTGATTACCAAGTTCAACAACCTTTCCTTTTTCCATCACAACTATCGTATCTGCATTTATGACCGTGGACAATCTGTGTGCAACTGTGATACTTGTAATCATACTGGCTTGCTCATCTTTGTCCTTCCACACTTTGGCCCCTAAAGAGCTCATAACCACCCTCTCAGATTCACCGTCAAGTGCGCTGGTTGCCTCATCAAGAAGCAGAATGGCAGGCCTCTTTAGTATTGTTCTTGCAATAGCAATCCTCTGTTTCTGCCCTCCTGAAAGCTGGCTCCCTTTGTCTCCAACAACAGTGCCATACCCTTCTGGTAGACCACTGATGAATTCGTGAATGTTTGCCTCCATTGCAGCCTGGATGATTTCAGTCTCTGAAGAGCTTTCACTTCCATAGCTAATGTTATCTCTGATGGATGTGTTGAACAGGATTGGTTCTTGTTGAACTAGCCCAATCTGCTTCCTGAGCCATCGGAGATTGTAGTCCTTTATGTTCTTGTAGTCAATTAACACTCTACCTCTGGAAGGATCATAGAATCTCAGTATTAAAGCCAGTACAGAGGACTTTCCTGCACCACTGGGGCCAACCAATGCTACTCTTTGGCCAGGTTCAATAACTAGATTGAAGCCATCCAGAATGGTCACCTCTGGTCTTGATGGATAATTGAAGCTCACATCCTGAAACTCGGTTCTACCGATAAGCCACCCTTTGCCTGGGTTTTCTGGTTTATCCGGCACAATTTGTGTCTCTCTGTCAAGTGTGTCAAATACAGGATTCAGTATTGAAATGGCTGACATGACCATAGGAATGAGGGTCCATAACTCTGTGATGGAAGGCACTGTGAGTGAGAATATCTGGTATGATCTTATGCTGTCCTTAAATGAGGCTTGCTTCCTCTGAACCAAAACTGTGGTGTACCATAGCGCCACTGCATGTGCAATATTCCAGAGGCAGAGCGAGATACCTTGGATGACCCCATACTTCATGCTCTCAATCTTGGTGATCTTCAAGGGTTCTTGCAGTGACAATTCTGCTTTCTTGATTATTTCATCTTCATAAACAAAGGATGCCACAGTCCGGATGTTGCTAGCAGCCTCTGAAGCTAGGGAGACGAGTTCCCGGTGAGCAATAGCAGAGTCACCATAAAATCCTTTTGCTGACTTGGCTTGAATAAGGCCACCAATGAAATGGCATGGCATGACTGCCCATGAAACTAAAGCCATTCTCCAATTGACCTTCATGCTTACTATTGTTGCTATCAGAATTGAAGAGATGCATTGCACAATAACTGCCATTCTGTCAGATATGATGGTCTTGACTGTTGACGTGTCACTGACAATGCGTGAGGTAAGAAATCCTACGCCATTATTTGGTTTCTCAAACCAACCAAGCTCATTTCGGAGAACAGCTGCGTTGCATTGAGCAAAATAATTTCATATTATCAAGGGTATGAGGTATGTATATAATGTTCTCTTTTGAGAATTTATGGTGAACACTTAACAAATTCAAGGTTTTCATGTGACATACCTGAAAAGAGTGCCTCCCTTAGGTTTTTCATTGCCCTTTCTCCAACGATACCATAAATATAGTGCTGCAAGATGTTACTCACCATTGTTACCATCCCTGCTGTGAAGAATATCAAAGAATACTTGGTGACTTTCTTTTCTGCATCCGGATCATAATATGCCACACCAATGGTCATGATGAAATAACCAAACAAAGGCTTTGAGATTCCAGAGATGGCTGCTGCTGCGGAGCCAAATAGAATCTTCATAATGTCCTCTTTACGCAATCCATACCAAAGTCTAAAGAAAGGGTGTGTTTCCTTAACATTCTCATTCCTTGGTTGTTTTGACTCCAGTCTTTCTAGCTTTTTCTTTGGTCCCTGATTTGTAGAGGACTGCTTGATGTGTGCTTCGCCAATTTGTTCCTCCATGTTATCAGAAGCGCTGTTTAATCAATCAAACAAAAAACGTAAGTTCTACTTAGTAATCCTACTTATATGTAATAATTTCACTAAACTTCCTAGCAAGGAGTTTGTGTGTCTTTTTTTTTTTTTGCACTTTCTTGTTCTGTTCATCATTTGTAAATAGTAACTCTACTTTGATTTGAAACTGCTGGCGTCCGTTTTGAAAAATCTTCATTCATTGGGATTCTAAGGTACACCCCCAACCCATGCATGATGCATATACTTTTGAAGCGATAAGTTATATTGAAGAATTTCTTAACTGAGTATAAAACATTGGTCAAGTAAAACTTTCCATTGGTTACATTTAACTTTACCTTGCCACTTTATTTTCAGCTTCCTTGTCTATATTTTGCATGCTGTATACATTGGAGTAGAATGTGCTTTTGTCAAGCAACTCATGATGTGTCCCAGTTTGTGCTACTCTTCCATTTTCGACGACAACAATAGTGTCAGCGTTTACAATTGTGGACATCCTGTGGGCTATCAAGATAACAGTCCTTCCGCGCATTGCTCTCTCAAGTGCATCTTGAACTAGCTTCTCTGATTCTGAATCAAGGGCACTTGTTGCTTCGTCGAGAAGTAGGATTGGTGGATCCTTCAGCATTGCCCTTGCAATAGCTATTCTTTGTTTCTGGCCTCCCGATAACTGCACACCCCTTTCTCCTACCTGAAACAATTTAATTGTAGGAAGTTCCAGCGGGAGTTATTTTTATATCTTTGAATGTCTAATAATGTGGAATCATCCATGATTCTCCTATGGGAATAAATTGTGACTATCTGTAATTTTAAAGTTCTATTCTTAATGCATCACTCAGTCGACTTCGGTCCTTGAGAGATCTTGTTGGAATTTAACAAATCATGAGTCAAAACCCTAATCCATGTTTGGTTAAATACGATGGTCGACGACCCCAAGTATTTTATAAGTTTCCATAGGAAGTGGTGAAGTACCTCGGTTAAGTACTCATTTGGTAGTCTGGATATGAATGAATGAACATTAGCTGTTGTTGCTGCTTCAGTTATCTCTTCGTCACTTGCATCCATTTTACCAATCTTCAAGTTGTCCTTTATGTTACCAGAAAACAGTGATGGTTCCTGAGAGACTGAAGCTATATTTCGGCGCAGCGATTTCAGATCAAGTTTCTTGATACTGTGGCCATCAATGAATATGTCACCTGCAGTATTAGGCCTTGTTACATGACTGAAACATTTTAATACTACTTAAGCTTACAGTTACTAATGCTTCACAGAAGTACGACTAATAAACAATATGAAACCTTTTTTTGTTCAGGGTTTAATAAAAAAATAGTGACTTAGATCAGGCTAGTTGCACTGGTAAGACTGTAGAAGCATACCTGAAGTTGGATCATAAAACCTTTGAAGTAGTGAAATGACAGTGCTCTTCCCACAGCCACTGCTTCCTACCAGAGCTATGACTTTGCCTGCGGGGATGGACAATGAGAATCCCTGGAGAATCGGCTTATCCTGGCGGGAAGGATATGCAAAGTGCACCCTACGGAATTTGATCTCTCCATGAATCTTGTCTAGTACTAATCCACTTTTTCCATAACTTATGGATGGCTTTCTCTTTATCACCTTGAAGACCTCTTTTCCTGCAGCTTTTGCCTGATTGAAGGTCTGAAGGTCTGGTGCGGCATAGGTAATTGATCTGAATCCATGCAGTAGGGAAATCCATTAAGTCTAGAATACATGCAAATAAAAAAATTAATGGCAACTTTGGCTAAAGGATGTGAGTTTTTTTCTTTTTTCTTTTTCGAAGGTAATGGCAGGAGCTCTGCCTTTCAATTAAGTAGAATAGAATTGGCCTAGTTTTTAAGGAAAAACCTAAAGGATGTGAGTTGCTTCAATATTTTGTTTGAATGGTAACTATATTTGAAAAAAAATATATTTTTAGTGCAACGAAACCAATCAGTGAGTTTGTGTGATTATTACATTGCACCAAAGAGGATGCTCATGATGGCAGCTATCGTGCCACCTCCTGTTGCCTTGTTTTTGGTTACTGCAACTGCCCCAATCCAAACCATCAGTGCCCATGAACAAAAGGTCACTGCTTGGAACATTCCAAGTCCTATTCCCTTTATCAATGCTTCCTTCTTGCTTAGATTAAATTGGTTTTCCATGCACTGGACAAAGGACTTCATGGCCCAGCTCTCTCCAATGAAGGAGAAGACGGTCTTGATATGTGACAAAGTCTGTGAACAAATGTATACGAAGGTTTATAAACATATTTAACGAAGCGGGAGATGATCTGTGTATCAACATTTCTATCTATTCAGGTAACTTGGCTTGAGGTATGGGTGTTAACTGATCTCACAATACCTGCTCTACAACCGATATTGCCTCTGAAACAATAGCATTGCGTGACAAAGATAAGACATTCAACTTTTTCGTGTATGCTGCTCCAATGACGAGGATAAGTGGAATGACCAGGAAGGAAAGCATTGCAACTTGCCAGCAGCTGATAAACGCAATTATGATGCCAGCAAAGAAAGTGGAGAAGCTTGCAATGAAATGACCCAGCTGCAGAAGAGTGAACTTAAGATGCAGATCTGACCGCAGAGTTTCAGAAGTCTTGCATCAATATAATGCTCATATGATTGTGAAATCCATTACCTTCTCTCCTATTGCATCTTGTATGACACTCATGTAGTTGGTTACTCCGGTGATGATGGTTGCAGTAGTCAAGTCAGTGTCGAAGGCCCCAACCTCTTGATTAAGGACTGATCTCAGAAACGCGAGCCGCATGCGTGCTAACTGCCTCTCACTTGAGTATATCCAGCAGGAGATCTCTGCATGCAGCCAATTCATCAGATAAAAGGTTAGCAACATTTCGCCACTGAAGTTGCCATGTTGTTTTTACTAGTAGGTCTCCTATATTTGTCATTTCTGAACATAGGTGTATGCTGGTAACAAAAATAATATTTCCTTGCAATTAGTGCGCCTTTACTGTACTCGTCAAAGTTCAGAGATGTGCTTTTATGTCATATATAATGAATATAAGTGGAAATTTATTTCCAAGCGCACCTGTAAAATAAAATCTCTCCTGAGTTGAGCTAATTTTATGCTTAGTGGGCGAAGAAATCAGTGAGCAATGTTGCCAGTTCTACTTTATTTCTTTGTTTCATAGAGCCAGACCAAAAAATCACAGGTATGCACATTTTGCCTTTTCCCCTATATTTGTTCTTTCTAAAGCACCACAAGGAAAATCTACATTCATCATGGAAGGAATGGACAACAGATTCTTGACTTACCAACCATTCCAGCTGGAAGAGTGGCTCCTGCCATGTACCACACAAAGGGGACCACCTTCAAGCAACAAGCAAGAAATCCTCATGCAAGTTGAAAACAATTGCAGACCAATAGAATCGGAATTCGAAAGGCTAATGATATGATAAAGGATTTTAGCAAGTTCACCTTGTACAGCGCATGGACCATGCCCTCCGGATCATTTATGTTGGTTCCAAAGGCATCAAGTGCCTTTCCAAGAAGGAGATATCCAACTGGGAATGCCATGCCATGGATGACAGACCCAATGGTTCCCAGGGCCATGAGGAGCCAATCTACTGTGTCGGCGTAGCAAAGCAGCTCAAAGAATGAAAATGGCTCCTCGTCGGCGCCAGCCTCGGGGGAGACTGAAACTGTGCTTTTCCTTTCATCGGTATCATCAGCATGAGATGATGATGACATTGAGTGATCTTCATAGTCCATGGACATTTTTTCCCAGTGGATCTTGTGATCGTTTTGCAGTATGGGAAGGGAGATGCATAGATGGCATCAGTATTATAGGCATAGACGTTGCATTTTGGGCAAGCCAGTTTACATTTAGATGTAGATACTGACAACCATATCTCCCAAAATGGCTTCCAAAAAACACAACAGTAGGCATTCCCAAGGTTGAAAATAAAATAGTCTGGCTTCAAACAAGCACTATAGTAGGTACTCCCAAGGTTCTACTTCCACATAACAATTTTGCTTACACTGACAACAGTTTATTATCAAATCGATTCTTTCATCCACTTGGATATAGGTGGAGAATAGGGGAAACTTTGGATTGAGAAAACTGAAAACCCAGCAGCAATCCTCCCAGACAAATAAGAAAAAAAAAGGTAAACACTTAATTTATATTATTTCGCATATTATCTCTACGAAACAGAGCAATAAGCCATACCATCAGATGGGCTACTCAGGTGCTCCCTTAGTCACAAATAAAAGAGTGAGAAGACATTGTTTCATGCATTCAATATTTTGTGTCAGTAAAGATTCTCATTCATTTGTATAATAAGTTAGGGTACTTTTGATGAAAAATATGCTGGTACTTATCAAAAATCTAAATAACGTTTACGATTATTAGTTTCCAAAGTTTTAATATTGACATTGCAGACATTTCCTATGACAATGGAAGTTCCATCAGAAAGTTAAATCAGTGTCTTGGATCTCACTTTAAAAATCCCTTGCCCTGATCAACTAAATAAATCCCTCGCCTCTTGCTCCTAGTATGACACAATCATTCATGTTAGCAGTGCAGAAGGTCTGATCTGCATGTATACAATAGGTTAAAGAGTGCTTACATTATCGGGGCGGGTGTCAAGGAATAATTGGGGCATAATTCGAGCATATGCCCTTTGAGACTGCACATAGGACATACGGCTGTCCATGTCGTGTCATTGCAACCAGCCCTGAGTGTTTGTTTGCACCTGGTCTGGAAACACTTCCAAGAGAGAAGCACCAAAAAGGAGAGTTCTGGCAGTGTTCGTCCTCGTTGCTGCTAACAAAACTGACGATAACAGAAGCCCGGACATTGGTCGTCTGAACTTTATGTGACCTGCCATCAAAACTGACGATAACTAACAGCTTCGCCGAAACTCTTGTGCAGGCTGCTGTTTGCCACTCGAAGGCTCTGGATAGCTGGCTAAGGTGGTGGTTTTCGACAATGTTTGAAGTTTGAACTGGACACTGTTTTGGCTGAGGGAACCAAATGGGTTGATTCTCCAAAATTTGGGTACAAATGCCTCGGGTTTGCAGTTCCGCAATTCTCAGAGCTTGGAATTTGAACTGGAAACTAAATAGGTGACATGCACTTTTTTGGCTGGAGCGCTTCTGTTGGATTCATCTGCAAACGTACTAAAAAACTTCATTAGAAGACGGTTCTCTCGGATGTAGCAGCAGCAGCATTCAGAAACAAACATCTCAAGTGTTGTCATGATGTAATCTGAGTCATATCTCGTTCATGGTATAAGCTGAGAATATCCGGAGATGCCATGAACACGCCGGGGACGACTCCTTCAAACGGCTTGTTTAAAAATTCAAATATCTTTATGTATCTAATGTGTTTGTTTGACCACCAATCATCAGTTGCGTTATATTTTGTGCGTTGGTGGCCGGAGCTGCCTGCTGGATTATGCTGGGGAGCCCAGACGCATTGTCCGATCCGTGTTCCATCAGCTCGGCAGATTTGGTTTCTGATTTGTATGCATCAATCGCTGATTTCGCGATTCATCAGATATTCAGATGGGACCCCTAGTAGCAGCACATATTTACCTGGAGCCATGTTTGTTACACGGCAAATTTCGTACATCGTATATGTTTGTATTCATTCATGTAACAGTGCTACCAAATTCCTGTTATATATGTATACGTTGTTTTGATCATGTGTTTTAATTTTCAGAGGCTGTTTTGAACACAGGAATTTCACCTGAATTAATTTAATTTCACATGAAAAACGTAAGGATAGGGGAAATGTCCCGTGTTCCAAACAAGCCCTCAAACTCTCTGAAACAGAGCGATCAAGTAGCCCTAAGAGAGGTGTCATAAGATTTATAGCACAAATTAGGATCACACAACATGGCTTGCACAAAACTGTTTCTCTCTCTCCATGCTCATTTTTACTAAGAGTAGTAGTATACGACGAATTAAAGATAAGAGTCCTCACTAGTTTAAACCTGTATGTGTATTGTTTGATAAGAGGCCTCAAGCACCTTTTTGTGACCTGAACTCACGCCCCATGCTCAAAGAAAATAGAACAACGCATTTCCAGCCATAGTACATGTCTGGCCCTAAGATGCATTAGACCAGATGACTCGGCCGTTGAATAGATCTTCGAGCTGCAAATCTTTCAGTGTTTCAACGTGTGAACATGTTGTTAGTCTAAATATAATACCATCCACAAAGAATCATCTTTGCTTGTCCTAGAAAAGAAGTGCGTCACTGAGTCATACGCCTTGATGGAAACAAGGCAGCTAGTATCTGTGTGCAGGAATCATCGAGCCAGTTTCCCAACAAATGCACATGTATACTAGTATGCATATATGCAAAAATATTCTTGTAAGGACCGTGCACGGTTAGCTTGTTCTCCCTTCAGCTCGGAACTCTCGCTCACGTCAACGTTTTTGTCGCACGACAAGATCATAAAAGCTAACAAGAGGAATATTTATATTGTACTATTATATTAAGAAAAGCTGAAGTTGCTCCTGTGAGACTTATCAGGCCTCCCAACGCTGTTTTTTTACTAGTAGCCCCCCAAATGCCACGTATGATCGAATAAAAAAAAAGATACTCTACATCTGTCATAGTGGCTTACAGAAGCTACGTATATCTGAGGAGAGAGAAGGTGGTTCATGCTAAAAAAGAAAAGAAAGGGGAAATAAAGATGAGGCATGATGAAAGAAAAAAGTTTGTTTGCAAACCACATGTAGTGATAGTTTACATTATATGAATAATAATCTCAACATTTTCTAGTCTATATGGATCACTTTATTTGTACTAGAACCAACAAAAAAAAAAAAACCCTTCAAGCATGGCAATTGACACGGCTTTAGCTGTAGAAACTTTTACAGATGGGGGCGTGGACATATTGAAGATGTTTATAGTAAAGTAACTTTTGTACTACTTTAGACTAGATACACATGTCTAAACTATCTTTTTAATTTTACAAACTATAAATCTCATATTTTTTTGAGCAACACTATAAATCTCTATAAATTTAAACTATAATATATGTACACCTAAAACCTTTACGGTCCATGTTCGATCTTTTACAAGGGGCTCGCGGAATCACGGCCTATTTAGCTCATTGATAATCGGGCCTACCGCTGTGGAGTCATCATGATGGGCCCTACAGCGTGCAAGTACGGCCCACGTACAATCGAAACCAAAACCCGTTGGCAGAGCCCAAACCGTCTCTGCCCTCCGTCTCCACGTGCGCTTCGATCGCCAAACCCAAGCCCGCGAAGGCGAAGCCCGTGACCACACCGGCGGCGGTCGATGATGGCCTCCGGCTCGACCTCCGGCGGCGGCGCGCGTCCGTGGCGCACCGCGGTGCTCACCCTCCGCAACGAGTCACTCGCCCTCGCCCCTCCTCGAGCTCCTCCGCCGCGTGCGTGCTCCTCTCCCCCGGCCTCGCCCTCGCTCGCCGCGCTCTGCCATCGTGAGGTGCGGCTCCTGAATCTTGATCTCCTCTGTCTCCGCCCCCGCGGTGTCTGTCTGCCACCTGGTGGTGGTTCTGTGCTTCCTCACCGCTCCGTCAATTTGTAGGTGCCTGTCAGTAGGCTGTCGCACCAGGCACGACACGGTGGATTGTGTTGTACCATTAGTCCATTACCATTACCAAGCAGCAGAAACAGTTGATGGCAGCCAAACCATTGCAGCAGGAAAGGTAAACTAAAATGTCAGAGTCATATGGTGGTGGCAGTTGCACTGGTTCCAATATTAGAGACTTGGTTACCCATCCACGGCCTTCTTATGTCGGGATGCAGAGAATCAATCCTCCAAGTCCATTTCAGTGCCTACCACCAGCTGTGATCGATCGGAAGAAGAGAGCTCGCCCAGAGGAGGAGCATGGCAAGCTTAAAGGTTTTAACAACATGCTTGTTGGATACAAGCGGATGAAAATTATGAATGGAGATGAAAATACTTAGTAATTGATAATTGAGTAATTAGCCAAAGTCTATCACAACCACATAAATATTACAAAGTACTTGTATATGGGTACAAAGTCAGCAAGTAAGTACACAAATACGAGAGGAAGCTAAGATAAGCAATTTTAAGCATCCATATAAACTTTAACACTTGTATCTGTTTTAAAATAATTATGTCTATTAAAAATTAGTAGCTCGAATTGATGGACTAGTATAATTAATGATCCAACTTTAGATGCTGAAGGGTTGCATTTGCTCTGTGTTCTGGCAGTTTTTGGTGTAACCCCGTGTACTCACTGCTCTGCGCTCCAAGACTTAACTAAAACCTTGCATTTCACACATGCGCGGAGAAGAGGAAAGGAAGAAGTATCACTTTACTAAAGGACATCTTTGAAAGGCCACCTGGCATGCCTAAAATCAAAGTTATAGTCAATGAACTTGGTCAGCCTGTTGGAGACAACTATAGGAAGTTTTCTATTGCTGTTGGGTGCCATGTGAGAAAGAAACTATCAGTTGCTTGTCCTGATTGGAGGAAAGTTGATATTAAGAAAAAGATGGCAGTATGGACAGACTTAAAGGTATGTCTTAGCTATGTGCTGGTTGGCTGCACTTTAAATAATTATTACTGTAAGTCCCTATTTGGTACTGGGTGTCAAGTATGCTGAAAATATCAGTTGGCTGCACATTAAATTGTTATTACTGTAAGTGCTTATTTGCTATTGGGTGCCAAGTATGCTGAAAAAATTGTTAAGTACTTATTTGCTACTGGGGGCCAAGTATGCTGAAATCTAAGTACTCATT